AACAGCTGTGTCACAAGAGTGCCCAACTGAGGAGACGGCGGGACCTGGCGACCCTCGACGATGGTTCCTCGGCAGCTGATCAGCTCTAGAGTAAGAGAGCGATGTGGAGAGGAGGCGCCCTGAGACAGGTGGTGAGGTGAAGTACGCTTCGCCTCTCCTGTCAGCTAAGTACTTCTCCTTATTCTTCCTGGCTTGAAACAACATCTGCTACGCCTAAAGATTGCCTTTGAGACTGTTTATATTTAGAGGAAATACAAGCCAGGGTAATTTATTTAGTGTTGTGACTTTAAAGTTTGTTTTATCATTTGTTGAGTTTTTAACATAACTTATTAATGACCCAGAGCTGATGGATTTGTAGCCTATCTATTTCTTTAGTCTATGTATCTAGGACTCTAGTGGGCAGTGAAAACATGGAAACCCATTCCTTAATGTGACTCTCTGTACTTAGGCTCTGCATTGGCCATCCTCTGGACTCAGCCTCTCCTTGGACCCCCTTCAAAGAAGACTTGGACAGTGGTTTCAAAAAAAAAAAGAAGTTTTTTATTTGGGGCCATTTTAGCTGTGTTGTAATGAAATGGCTTGCTTTAAATAAATCGTACATTTTTCACACTTCAAACTTGCCTGCCTGCTGTTTTGAACCGAGTGCTCCCCACCAGAACTAAGTAGATCAAAAACAAGGTTTCACCCCGTGAGACCTGCACCTCTGCGCCGCCATCCCTGATTTAATTTCTCATATCAATTGATTTCATGTGCTTATTAAATCCATTATCTGCAGGTTCTTTGGGGATGATTTTGATATTTGCTTCATGAACACATTAGTGATTTGAATCTTTGAATTTATGACTAAAAGAAGCTACAACAAAGTAAGACATAGTGCCCCTTAAGTCCCATAAGATGCCACTTCTGTTCTATTAGATGGGATCATTTGGCAGTATTTTAAAATTTTTATATATATAGTGCAATTTTAAATAGGAATTTAAGAATGCAAGTATTTTGTGTAACATAAGTGCTCTCTGATGGGCATTGTTAATCATCTGTTGGTTTGTAAACTCTGCTAAAAATGATAAATTTCAGTCACTTTTACTTGGTGAAAGTGCTATTTTTGTGGTTACAGATGTTTGAAAGAACCTCAGAATTTAATTTCAACTCTTTTGTGATGATATAGATTTGCTGTAGAGTCTCTGTGACTCATCACAGTGTGCTTTACCAGCAAGGTAGCTACAATATCAATCTCCATGGTGCAGCAATGCTATTGCACAAACTATTGCTCTGTGTTCAAGGACTATCCAGCTACTACAAAGGTGGCTGTTATAAAGACATGATTTTCTTCTGCAGTTCAGAAGTAAACAATATTATGAAGACAAATGTGAGTGTTGATGCAAATTTCCCTGTACATGGAGAGACATTACTTTTTTTGTGTGTGCACAAGATAGAAATAACCAACTTTGCACAACTTCGGGGCTCTGCGGAAAGAAACAAAGTTTTAAAAAAAGTTTGGGATGAATGCACAAACTGTATTCATTTTTAAAAATTGTTACAAGACATCATACAATACAATTGGTAAACTGGTAAAATGAAAATGCCAATGAATCACAGGGATGTGTCATTGAATCTTCTAGAGAAGAAAAAGAAATCATGGGTTTCACTGATGGTGTTCAAATCACGATAATATGAACAATACCAGTGAACACTACAACTGATAACTGATAGATTTCATTTTAAAGCACTAACAACAAGACTGAAATTCTTCCCCTCAGCCATGCAATAGCTCCAGGGAGCTGCATTAATCCAAGCAGAAAACTATCAGAATACAAATATGCTCACAGTGAAAGCACCGGCTTGTAGACATTACCCAGATTTTGAAAAGCCCACTATTGTGCAAATTAGCACCAAGGAGTAGAATATCAGAAAATGAGAAAACTGACAAACTGAGATTTTGACTTGAAATCAAAGCACACGGTTAAACACAAAGTGTTCATGGCGGCTGATGAAAATTCATCCCAAAGAGAAAACTTGCAGCTATTTCACAGTCGTTGACATTTTGTAGTCTGGCAGGAACTGAGGACAAACTGACCGAGTGACCAACATCCCACGAGTCTGCTGAAAAAAGGCCATTGGTCTATTTCCTAATTACCTAAAGCTCCAACCAGCAGTCTCTCCTGCTGTTTGGGTTTTCAACCTCTGAATTAGGCATAGCTTTCTGTTTCAAAGAATGAACACGCTCGCTGGGATTTAGGTCATGATCCGTGTTGCTCCACATCCGACAACCTTCATAAACCTTGAGCCACCTGGCAGCAGCCTTATATCTGGTACTGATGTCACACATGGAGCATGGGACCAACTCTCTGTCATCTCAAATAACAGCAGCAGCAGCAGGTTGTGTGTCTGGAACAACAACTGAAATCTGGAGTCATTCCCGGGCTCAATAGTCACTGCCCTCTGCCAGTGTGAGCATTAATAATCACATGCAGCGAAAAACCAAAGACAAACTGCTCAAATTAAAGCTCAGCAGATTCAACATGCACACCCTCAGCTAACCCTGCACTGTAAACACAGCAGTTATAAGCTCAGCAAGTTCTTCTCCTGAGTTAATGTGGAGGCCCATTAGTTCTTCAAAGTTTTATTGGCATTTGGAGATCCCTAAATGTCTCTCTAAGGCACATATTTATTTTAATCAGCCCCTGCTGTCAGGAGTGAATATGTTTATCTGCAAATGATGCCTGCATGCTTAATGCTGTCACCTTGGCAGTGGTGCCACCTTGCAATAAAACCTCCACTGGGCCTGCTGCCTCAGTGGGTTTAGTTGGCAGACTTATGGGGCCCATTAGTTTCTGAGAACAGGTATTTAGGGAGATGACAGAGGAAAGGTGAGGACTATTTCAACCAAGCACATTTGACCTACAACGTACTATTCACCACAGACCACGAAGACCTAATGCCAACACTATGTAAGTTACAGTTCTACTGCGTACTAACAAGCTCTAGCATTGTTTAGATTCACAATAAATGTTGAACATCAGTATTATAAGTGCTGAATCATCTCTCAGGGGGGCAGCTCCAGCCAGCCTAGTAGCAGTGTGATACTTCTGTTTTATGACGTGTGACAACAGATGTAAAAGAACCTCAACTTTTAAGTCACGGCATTGCTGTATTATGGCATTGCTGTATTCTTCATTTTAGCTCAATTTCAATATATATATATATATATATACGTATTTTTTAAAGACGGTTATTATCAATGCCAGTATATTGCAAAACCCTATGTACGACACTGCACAAACAGAAGATTTAACCAAAGTTTAACCTCTAACAGATTTGAGGTGGCTAATCTCATTTTAAAAGGGGCCATGGCCACCACTGATCTCCCCTGGACTTGCCCCTGACAATGAGCACATGAAATCTAGCTGGGAGAAGGTTTAATTCTTAGTTTCAGACATTATTTCTACTATTTATTGCTCAGTGATGTTGCTGTAGGCTGTGTGGATTCTACACTGATATGATTTGTGTAGAAATATTTGGAACCGTACTGTTCCTCCAATAAATCTATGTACTGAAGCCATGCAATGCATCACATCACAGAAACCGATGCTTTAGTGCAGCATCTAAGGAGACATGATTATGATTCTGAATTTACATCTAATATATTTCCAGTCTGGTTTGTCATAATTAATTTTACTGCAAAAGACTAAATAATTTTAATTTATTTGTGTTATATATAAATCAAACATAATCAGTAGATTAACTTGTCTCTTATTTGGTGGACAACTGAAGTTATTTCCATATATTTGTCATGATTTGAAAGCAGCCATTTATAGTAGTTGTAGTTGTTGATTAGAGATTAACAGGAGGCTTTGTATATTAATTGAATGGTTAATCTATAACTGATCAGAATCTGGCTTCAGGTACAGGAAACTGGTTTTCTGGCTACATGTCGATGTCCATAAACCACTTTGATTTCCCAGATCACTGTCAAGTCCTCCTGCTCTTAATTTAAGCAGATTTTTTTTTCTGTTTTCTCCCATTTTCAGCATTTCCTCTCCTGAAAGCATTCATGATCCTGGATGTTTTCCCACTTGGTCTAACTGAGTGTGCTTGTCCATGTAGTAAAATAACGTTATTTTAAACTACAATGCAATGTTAGTCAAACTGGATATCATTTTTGTAGACAGTAGGCTAACTAAATTTCATCTGTGAGTGCACACATATGCTACCCACACATTTGTCAGGGCCGTCTCTGTTAAAGACATGCAAATAACAAAATCTATGACATGGGTTTATCATAAAGAGCAGGTATAAAGTTTCTTTTGTATATTAGAGACCCATAATTATTCCACTGTGGGTAAGATAAATCCTCTGTTCAACAGGCAGAAACCTCCAGGAAAATCAGACTTACAGGAGAAAAACTATCTGCCACAGCTAGAAGCTTCAGGCACACCACCCTCTGTTTTCTCCAAGGCACCACTGCTGAAAGTGTTGCCCTCTTATTGCAGTAAAAGACAGAGATATTTCAGTTCAGGCTATGAACTCTCACTATACCTCATTAAAACAAGTGTGTGGAATTTTAGGTCAAGGCAGACGAAGAAGTGATACTGATAAAAAAAAAAGAGAGAGAGAGAAATATAATTACCCTTTGTGTTAAGAAGTTAAATGTAGCCTGGAGGCCTGCTGTTCCACAGACAAAATTATGACTCTTGTTCCTTTATTTCACTCAGAGCTCTTAACCTCAATAGTCAGGACAGATTTTGTCTTTTAGGGGGAATCAAACAAGGCTAAAGCAAAGTTTGCTCTTTGTACAAACTGTAGAGTGTGCTACTAGACCACGAGGCTTACGAGAAGTGTCTTCACACATCTGCTCCATCCCATGCAGTATCTTCCCATATGGAGCTCCTGAATCTGCAGCTGACAGCTGGCAAAAACGGCAATAAACTTTTTATTCACCCCCTGAAATCAGGCTTAAGTAGCCTAATGTTGAGATTAATACAAAGGCCCTTTGAATTTAATATGAACATCTGTGGGTTTCCTGGAGGAACTTTAGGCTAAATATAGTGACAAACTTTTCACACAGAAGTAGGATTACGTTTTTTTTCTCATGTTTAATCAAGGCCCTGTTTTTTCTTATTTACAACAAGTGAAATTATCATCATCATTATGATTTGATCCCGCCTTTAGTCCGGAATCATACCCTCAATTTGTTAATTCAACATCAAATTGTCTCGTGGAAAAGCGCTGATCCCTCCTGACCTCGTGCGCATTTAATTTTCTCTCAGCTCTTCCCCTACCGGCGATTGACCACGTGGGTCCATCTAATCTGACAGACGGCACATGTTTACTGATTTCTATCATGGGAACAGCAGAGTTGGTGCTCCAGCTAGAGCCGTGCCACAGGAGGAAACATCCCTCCCACCACTCAGGCGGACAACACATTGAAAACTGATGCACATGCAGCGAGACAAACACTGAAGGAAGTGAAGTTATTTTCTTTTCTTTTTCACTTGATCATCTAGAGTCAGAGGAAGTTACTTCACCGGACATCAGAGGATGGATTGAGTAGTCCCCCAGCGCTGTTTTCCTCCTCCAACCGGCTGCAGACGCGTCTGGATGGCAAGAAGTTGCAACTTTGCTGAAATGATGCTCAACTTCCATCACCGCTCGCTGTTCCCAGTGGTGGCAGCGGCCGTCCTGACAGCTGTTCAAGGTGAGATTTATGCTCTCCATGCGCAGCAAAGCCTTTTCTTTTGCGTCTGTTTATTGTTTCATGTGTGTTGGAGCGAACTCAATGAACAACATATCAAAGGAACTGGACTGGAAGTGGCTTGAAGGCTTCAGCTGTGTTTAAAAGGATGAAGTGTGCAGCTTTTCTACGTCCTTGTAGATGCTCTGGAAATCTCAAACATAAGATGGATATTGCTCTTTTGAGACTATGACTCTAGCTTCATCAAGTATGCAGAAATGGGAGTGTTTGCAGCTGTTTCCTTGAGTCTTTACTGGCAAAAATTTAAAGCAGCAGGCTCATTATAAGAATATATGCAGTTTTTGTGCATATCAGATGGCAGTGTTTGAAAAACAAGCTTTAAAACATAATAACACTGGAGAAAATGTTAATTTATGGATATAAAATCCCCATTTCTTATGTTTTCAGGCTGTAGGCTGTGTAAGAATTTAGGGTTGGTTTCAGATTTTAACATTTAAAGCAGTACTCGTGCACATGAGATGGGGACATTTGAGAAGTAAGCCTTAAAAATACAGAGACATTTTGAAAATGTGCACTTAAGGGTTTAAAAACCGTTTTCCAGGCAACAGTTTGCCCAAAAATCTAGCTTTGTGTTTTCATATTTTTAGGGTTTTATGGTTTCTACTCTCTGCCCATTTCATTGTCCCTCAGTTGAAATGAAAGTGACAGCATGCTCTCCTGTGTGCATCTGTAAGCCTCATCTGTGGGATTAAAGAGGCCTACAGCTCAGGCTGCACAGCTGTTTCTCTGCTTGTTTAAAGATAACCTGCATCGGGAGCAATAGAGTCACAGCAAGCTGTCTGTCCTCTCTGTGATACTGATATCATGCCAAAGACTACTTTCTGAGATTGCAGGGTTTTAAATCTGCACATGATAACTTTGTGTGCATTTTTGCTGTATGTATACTGTACAGAGGACTGCAGTATTCCTGCTCGTGCAGGACTCAGCTGTGCAGCTGTGCTCTTAATGCGTGTCTAAGTGATAGAGTTCAGTGGCTGATATCTCCTCTACATCCGTGAATATGCTGCAAGCCTTATCTTTCAGTGCAGACACAGATGTGGTGCATGCTTGTCCATGGTTCAGCTAACTTTTATAGTTGTTTAAATGATTTAAATGCTTCATTTTGCTTTCAGTGACCTGAGTAAAGATACTTTGGGAAATCCAGCGACTAATCAAGTAGTATCTGATCAATAGATAATCTAATATACAGCAGTGTGCGTCATCAGCAGACCACTTTTCATCCTCAGAGCACTGACTAACATTCAGTTAGAGTTTATTTTAATAAAATAGATTTGCAGCCTCAACAGAGATTGCAAACCCTTAAACTCTAAGAGCTACTTGTGGATGAAAAAACCCAAAATATTCAGACATCTCTCTCCTCTGCTCATTGGAATAGAAAACTAATAAAGTAAAGAGCACAACCATTTTGTCAGTGTGTTTTTCCTGAACTGGAATCCAGTCAACCTTGTGAAATTTAAAAAAAAAATGTTTGTAAAAGATTCAAAAAGATTTTTGATTGAAGTTCCTTGTTATTATTAATGTTTCACCAAATTGAATGGCTGAGGAGAAATGTTTTCAGAAGCTTCAATTCTCAAATCTGGATCTTAGGTGGGTGTATGGCCTCTGTCTTCCCGTCCTTTATATGTTATACAGAGTCATCAACTTATTCAAAAAGTCTGTTTGTTGATTTACTCAAAGGAAAAACAGGTCCAATTTCATACAACAAAGCAATAAAAATGCTTCTTTTAATCATTCACATATGTACTTGTTAAGCATTTAACAATTCTAAAACCTTTTTTGAGACAAACCCACCTGATCTTGGCTTAGAGCTGTCAGTTACCTTTCAACTGCTTTCTTTGACTCAGCAATGTTGCCATTCCACTCACTTGGGTTAAAATAAATCTGAAGTGTTGACATCTGACTGCGTCTGGGAAACATTTACTTTTAGTTTATGCTTTAATAATAGGACACATCACATCTATGTTAGGCACAGTCAGATTTTGTCTCAAACATTAGAATGACGAACATCTTGTTTTTCCTTCATTGTAATGTCAATATCAATATCAGTAATCAATATTATCTAGACTACAACCAGAACTTCTCATGCTGAAAATCCAGACCTTTCTTTCTGTGCAATCTGGCACTGACTGTACTCTTTAATGTAGAATGTGTCTTTAAAGATTAGGCAATCACTGATTAAGATCACTATAGCTTTACCTGCATAGGATTTTGTTTATATAAACAGCCTAAAAAGTAGAAAATCAACCTCTGCCTTCAATTAAATAACCTTTGTATTGCTTTAACTTTCCCTATGATTGAATGCACTTCTGAATAGTGCGTTACTGATCTATAAATCACAAATGCATTGTCATGGTAGTATTGACATGCATGTTTATTCACTCTTATTGTCTGAACATTTGAACTTGTAGGTTAAGCCTTGGATAAACAGGCCATGCATTCACACCATTTTTCCAATCAGATGAAACTCCAGCTCCCTGCTAGTGCTAACTATCCTCAGATCAATGGGTGTCAGTTAGGTGCCGGCAGCAGATTAGTGAGGGATCGCTGAACGAGGAGAGAAAAGCCAGTGAGATATGTTGGGCTCGGAGTCCAGAGAGCTAATTCTTCACTAAAGAGACACTTTGTAAAACATGAGAAACAATTTGAAGACAGGCAGAGCTGTATCCCCATTCCTGAGTCCTGAGTCAAACCATCATCATGATACTAAACATTGCACTGTTACAGATTTTCCTTATACCACACAAAGATGATGTGTGCCAGCAGTGTCTACATACATTTTGGCCTAAATGTGAAACTCCCTAAGGCATTAATTTCATCACTAAAACCTATAAAATAGTTTCCTGTGCGCTTTTCTGAACACTACATTTTTAATATCAACTCTGACATCTGTATATTTCACAGATTTCCCTTGCCCTGAGAAAGAGAATTGATTTACATATAGATGTATTCATGAAATGTGGTTTTGAAAATCAAGAAAGAATGATATATCACTTTCAAGACCTTTGGGGGGAAAAGGAGATCTGCCTTCTGCTACGTTTGCTTTCAGATAAGTTATTTTTCGTTGGAAAAAACAGAGTCACATTTACACATTAATTCTGGAGCACTTCAACATGGAGGCTGGAAAATTACCAAGTGTCTTTGGCAGGGAGTGGGAACTGTCACAAACAGCATCCTGCTGGGACAAACATTCATCTCGGAAGTTACAAGAGAGGCTTTTTTTTAATACCACTCAGACATTTTCCATTCTCTTTGTTGCTTAGACACGGTGACAGCAGAAAATTGGAAAACTGAGAAAAAACCACCGGAGTTACACAGTCAGTATATCTGTGTGTCAATCAAAACAATTAAAACCACAACAAAATTTCAGTTTCCTGTAATTGATGCTGCTCAACATTGTCAGTTACAATGAAGTGTCCGCTGTCTTAACATGAATTTGATTCCAGTTTGCAACCATCTCTTTACAATTTGTGTTAAACAAAGTAGTTTTGAGAGAAAAGCATCTTTTCTTTAAGCATACTCTGGACCTGAAGCCGAGGTCAGATAAAGAGACTTATTTTGTCTCTTACAATGGTCAGATTATCAGCAGGGCCAGACGACATCTGGAAATACTAATGACAGCCACTCACCAGGTTGCCAAAATGCCGTTTCTCTTTTTTTTCCAGTCTGCTCTGGTTGGCCCTTGACAACATGTCGTAAAGGCGGGGATTGTGTTGCATCTCACAGCTCCAACTTTATCATTCTTCGTCACAGAAAGTGATCTGTGCTCTCATTGGTCAACATCATTGACGAGAATGAACAAAAAGAGGGGTGGGGAGAATTATCAAGCGTGCTAGACTTATCCGTGAGGCTTTAGAGAGTCGTCCCAGGCTTGTCCTTGATTATTGTTTTTAGTAATAAAAGTGCTGATACCTTACATCTGATAGATTTGGATGTAGTTGTGCTTAAAACAATGAAGTCTTTCTTAGATATCTGTGGTTGAACTGACGATTTTTTGGTGCTTTGGCCACATTCATAGATAGTGGCAGGGACAGACCAAATTTGCTGTGGCCATAAACCTATGCAAGTGAAAATGTGACATAAATTAAACGGTTTTGAAAAATGACTGTCATTCTTTTTGGTTTCTGTATTCTGTTTAATTCTTCTCATTTATTTGTCACTCTAAAGGTCGTTGCTCCACATTTTAGAAGTCTCTTACAGTAGAAGGCCTTCAACTGCTGTGACCTGCGCTGATAGAGTCTCTTTGCTTCTCCTCACCTTTGTAATTTTCAATCAGAAACCTTGTTTGTCCTCTGAACAAATTCGGACACATCATGGCCATCCAAACATACTTTTTGTCTGCTGGCTCTGCTGATGAGTTTGAGATATTTTCGTGGTACTCTGAGGTTGTTGCTCTTTTACAGCTGAATCGTGTTCAGTTTGTTTTAGTGGCAGTTTTCTGATATTGACCACTTGCAGACACATCTCCTTTTCCCTCACGGCCTGTTATAAAGCTTATACTCTATTTCGCCAAATGTAACCCCTCTGTCACATTTTCATTATCTGCTCTCATAAAAGGGATAAAAAACGGAGCGTGTAGGCGGCAGCTGTGTGTATCTAACTATCTCACTAGTTTTACACCTGAATGCTGACTTGAAACAGAGAAAGTGTTCTGGAATAACCTCTCTTTGCAATTTTCCCCTTGCAGTTGGTGAAAGCCAGAAGATTGCCACAGACATCGGACTGTTCTCCAGCCCATCACAAGTTTATCCCGCCGTCAATTTTCAGGTCCTCAATGCAGACCATATGTTCCTGAGGCAGGATAGTCCAGAACCATCTGGAAACTCCAGCCTGAAGGCTCAGACTCAGACTTTTCTCCTAACTAGTCTAGGCACCGGGACCCTACAGCCAACAGTCAACGCCTCTTTCGGCCCCTTAACTGTAGATGCTCCGATTCCTCCTGACCAGCTCCTCAGTGGGCGCCAAATCTTGCCTGTCATATTGGTTCGCCAGGTTCGCTCTTCCTCCCCTATTATCAAGATCCTCTTTCACATGCTCACAGATGGTAACATCTCTGTTGGACAAGACAAGGTGGGATCTGGAAAAGATGTGGGAGGTAAAATCTCTGGAGCCAAGGCCAAGAATGGATCTCATTGTGTCACGGCTTATGCCTTCTGGGACACAAGGGAAGTTCGTGGGGCTTGCCTGGTGCCTCCTGGTGGATTCTGTGTGGCACAGCTGAAGCCAGAACCTACCTGGTTCAGCTCAGGCAGCCGATCAGGCAGCTCCAGTCGGGAAGCGGGCAGAAATGAGGGGCTTCAGGGGAACCTTGTGGAGGTCTATTTCCAGAGTCGGAGGGATCAGACAGGCCAGTGTACCCCTCAGGATAGCCTACAACGTGTTGGGATGGGAAGAGGAAGAGATTCTGGGAGATCAGGGACGCCCATGAAGCGGATAGGGAGTGTAAACCTGCTCAGAACGCCTCCAGGAAACCCCACCTTTCTTCGACTGAGGCTCGGAGGCGCTGTAGTCATCCAGACTTCATCCAAACCTCTGAAGACCACTGATGTTGCAACTTTCTATGTCTTCCTGGCTAGCACATCCGATCTGGAAAATTTCAGTCTCAGGTGAGAGATCTTCACTCTTTTTCCCTTTATCTTTACTCTTTAACTGATTGATCTGATTGTTGAACATTTGGGGAAATATTATCATCATGACACTAGGGATGGATAATAAATTATCATTCATGATAAATCGTCAGAAAAATCCTCCATGATAAATATTTGCTGTCTCATGATGACGTAAGTACGAGCGATGGACTCACAGCCATAGCCCACACAGAGCAAAATAACAAACAAACATGACTAAAGGTAATGAAGAAGATGTTTCTGAGCAACTTGTTGCTGAACGAGGCTCCACATGAGGGATTTCCTTCAAGATTCCGGCTTAGATGAGCGCAATCATGTATGCCTGATATCGGACAGTAGATCTGCTGCTGTTCACTCTGGGTAATAAGAGTTTTTAACAAATGTTAAAAATGTTTTTACATTTAAGACTTGTTTGATGTCATTAGTTTTCTCTAAAACCTACCACTCAAACCTGTGGTTAAGTATCTTATTTGACTACTCCAACTGGTGTTCTCAAGACAAAATGAGTCAAAAATATTGATTGGAATTATAAATTTTTTTATTGGGACTTTTATCGTTATCGCCAGAATGGCAAATCTAATCGTGATCAATTTTTTAGCCCATATTGCCCATCCCTACTTGACGCTGTAAATGACCCCACCATAAGATGAAAAAAGGTTTATCTCCTGTTATCATATCTTTGGATTGCTGAAAAGACACCTGTGGTTTACAAATGTGTAAGTGCTAAGCTATCTCTCAGACTTGAGCAGTAAACCTGGAGTCTTTATGAGCCGATACTCACTCAGAGCTAATATGAGTTCACTCTTTTATGAGCCGCTCAGATAGTAGAGGATGTTTATAACAGAAAAGCAGGCAGATCCCTTGATTTGAATAATTTACCCAACAAATGCAAGAGGTATTTTATAAGATGTGTGTTTTAGTCTTTGTCTAATGGTACATCAAATCATGTATTTATGTTAGGAATTTCTGCTGTTTGTTGCATGTTAAAGTGCTGTTTTGTTATAGCACTGGTTCGTGCTTGGTAGAAACTAAAGGGACGTTAAGCTGAATCAGGAAAACAACACAATGAAATGAGCAAACATCTCAGTGTGGACCACATAGTTAATATACCAAAAGGGTTTAGGATAAAATTTTCATCACCAGAAAAAAAATATAATTAGTCAGCTGTGTAGCTGAGTTTACAGATGACAGGAGTTTAAGAGTAGTGCCATAAAATTTAATTGTCATTGAAACAAGTGGTCTAGGAAAGGAGACTGAGACCCAGTTGGGAAATAATGATGTATAGTGTATTTGAGCATCTTTATGAGGGATAAGCTCCATGCATTTAAATGGTTACTTAAGGCACTTGAATACTGATGGGGCTTGCCACGAAGGCCATTTAGTAAATGCTTGAGCGCCAACATGACTGGTGTTGTCTGCCATTTCCACGGGCCTCATAAATTTCTGACACGTTATATCCTGTCTGCTTCAACTTCTCAGGATCGGGGAGAGTTATGGAAAGCACTCTTCCATAAACAGGGAAATAATTGGCAAATGATTCACCGGTTTTTCATATCTCAACATCCCACTAACATTTCAACAAGGTTCTCTGGGTATTTGACTTCATAAATAATGCATCTATTTAATGGAGCAGGAAAACAAATAACTAAAATCTTCCTGACTCCGCTGGGTAGAAGTGAACTCAATATAAAAGCTGCCCTACCACATCCAAACATGCAGTTCAATCTGTTTCACAGTTTTCACTTGGCGCCTTTTCATACACATCGCTGAGTGGAATAAAACTGTTTTCATCAAAATACTTCACAACATTAATGTGCAGAGCTGCTGCACCAGCGTCTGAATTTCCGGTTTTTATACAGCTTAATGGTTTTGTTCGAAATGCAAGACAACTTTCTCTGTAATCCCATGATTTAGTGATATCATGCTGCAAACAACATACGAAGCATGCAGTAATCTGCAGCGGGATGCAGGCAAATGGAGAAGAAGTTCTGTTTGTAATCCCTAGAGCACATGCAGTAGTTAAACCTGTGGCTGTGTGTCAGTGGCCTTTTAAGTATCAGACTTATCCACAGACACAAAGATGCCGACAAACACACAGACCCAGTGACCTGAATGCAGCTCTACTTGTACCGTTATTGGTTGTGATTAAGTTTTGCTACAGAGACGCTAACCCTTCAACCTCCTTTGTTGTTTTGATTTGGGAGGATTTACAAACTTCACCTTAGAGTCCTTTAACTCCGACTCAGTCCTCCGTCCGGGCTGGCGATTCTTTTTCTATGTTACTTTGACCTACTGCTGCATCCAGAATGAGATTGGACAAGGAATGAGGGCTGAGTCCAAGTGAAGGCTAGCTCTGAGAAGCTTGGCAAAGTGATTGATTCCTCCTGGGAGAAATCCCTGCTCCACTTCATGCTTTGGCCCAAGAATGAGTCCACTCCAGGAGGGTTAGCCCAGATAATCTGTGGCCGTGATTGAAAATGAACGAAGAGGTTAACCCCTCAGAGTAGAGCCGATCCGGGCTGACTGCCAGGATTAAGTACAAGTATCTGTGGGTTGGTATATGTGCTTTACAGAGACATCATACCCACCTGTTAACTCACAGGCGGCATTAAAACACAGCACTTGTGGATAAAAATCCTCTGTTCCTGTGATTTTATTACACGGAATAAAAGAAAAAGATGTCGAAGGCTCAATCGGTGGAACAAAAGAAAGAGTTGAGCTTCAAAAGTGAAAACACAATGTTGAAATATTGACAACAAATCCCAAACTCTAAAAGCACTGTCCACAGACAACAGGTCCATGGAAAATCCCCCTCCTGTTGTTCTACATGAAGGGCTAATCAAATCAACAAGCAAACAGCAGACTGGCAGCTCTCCAGTGCTCCCCTTTTTCAAAAGCAAAAAGATTGACTGACTTTTGTAAAGCAGCAGCGGCAGAGAGTTGTTTGGTTTATGGGTCGATATCCACTCTGGCCCCCACCTGTAGTCATGAACTGTCTGTGGTGACTGACAAAGACAAAGAGCGAGGGTAGAAGTGGCTGAAATGAGGTCTCTCCACAGGGAGGCTGGTGTCTGCCTGTGGATGAGAAAGTCAGTGATCCAGGAAGATCCTGGCATTGAGTTACTGCTCCTTCACTCTTAACAGGAGCCTGCGGAAGTGGTTTTTGTCCCCCCTGGGATAGATGGTCATCAGGAGCTCCTGTTGCAGAGATGCTCAGCTGGACAAGCAGGAAGAAACTATAAAAAAAGAAAAGTTAAATTTGTCTTCGAATAAAACATAAACTGTTGATTTGCTCCGGCTATGATCAGATCAAAACAGCGGATTATCTTCTCTCAATATCAGAGAAAATTCAGATGTTAGAATACAACCAGCGCAATATTTCTCTAAATGAGGTCTTAGTATTTTTAATGTTTTTTTCTCAAGCTTCCTGTTTCCATATAATTAAATCTGTTTGTATTTATGATGTTTCAAACATTCATTAAGACTGTAAACATAGATAAAAAGTGTGGGTGTAGTCTGGAAATTAAACTTTGCACGTGTCTTCATCAGAGATTGATCCAACTGTCAGATTGTGAGTTTGAATATATTAACTTTATTTATGAGTACACTGAATTCTTCTTTACAGTTTTTTATTTCTTTGGTTCTGCAAACAACTCTGACCTTTGTGATGCTGTTCAATTAATTTTGTGTGAATTACAATGTGTGTTTTTGTGAACTGAACTCTGTAGCATCCAAACTGACCCTAGTTCTGACTTGAATAGACTGCATTCCAATCCAATTTGCTTTATTTATATAGCACATTTTTAAAAACATTCAAGTTAACCAAAATGCTGCAGAGTAAAATTAAAAGAAGAAACACTGCAGAAGTAAAAAAAAAAAGGTGAAAAAAAGAAGAAAATATCAAGAGGAAATAAATAAAAGCAGGTAAAAAACATTTAAAATGAAATCAAATAAACAAAGTAAAAACAAAAAGTGATAAAAGGACCATAAAAGACATAAAAGGACAAAGATCACACAACTCTCTAAAAAATTGAAGAGGTCAGAGATGTACTGTGGTGCTGGTCTGTTTAAAGATTTAAAAACAAATACAATTTTATGAATTCTAAAATTAATGGAAGCCAGTGGAAGCCAATTGCATCCGAATTTAACTGATAGTAATCTATTTAATTAATATGTGAATCTGTCCTCTTGGTATCAGCAGATGAGGAGATTGACAGGGATGTAGAGCTCAATCTGATAGCGCACACATTTCACCCTTTATTTCAGCGCTGATGCTAATGAAGCAAAATGGTTTTGCTCAGTAAAAAAGAATTGTTAAGGCTAAGTTTCTCCATTTCTCCCTCTGCATGAATTGCCCGCTTATAAATCTGCAGTTACCAAATGAGCTGCTTGAGTTGGCATGGATTGAATTCCCAGAGTGATGTTTTCAGCACTTTGTTGAATTCCTGCCATGAGGAAATCGGTCTGTTTTGGAATAACCAAGCTTTAAACTACATATTTAGAAACCTGTGTGCATTTTTGAGTTATATATTGAAGTTTTTTAAGTGAATCTGGAGCATTTTGTGACTCTTGTTTCACCTTTTCACCCCATGAGTCATACCACAGCTTTTTGATCCTCTTCGGTGATATGTGACACAAACATTTAGCAAAGGGACATCTGCGAGGGATTGGAGATAGTCCGACCTCGGGGGACTGTCTGGTTCATTCACATTGTTTATAATAAGCCTACTATCTCTCCTGGCAGAGTGATGTGTGTGACTGAATCAGACATCTGATTAACTGATTCCCAGTTCTCCCAAGGGCTAATGGGAATAAATACCCCTGCTAATTCACAGTCTGCTGGCAGCCTGCGACACATCAATCTGTCTATGACTCAACACTTTAGGCAGAATATGAACGACTGACACATACATAACAAGTCCTCGTGTCCTTAGAGAGACATGTTTCTACAAGCTAATGCAGCCGAACCTCAGGGCACTGTCGACAGATGCATGGCAACCATTTTAGATGCGGAGGATAAAGATGCTGCAAATCAATCAAAGGAGATAATGAATCTTTATTTGCGATGCACCAAAAGTTATGACTCTAAAAAGTAGATATTTACTGCACTTTTTGCAGCGTTTAATAGAAAGACCCAAACCTAACCATTGTAACCAAGGGCTTGGTAATAACTTCCTCTAATACAGACAGATAACCTTGTCGAGAACCCAAACATTTGATAGACAGTACGGATGGGCAATTTGTGCTAAAAAAATTGTCACGATAAGTGTTAGGATGAGTTTCTTCAGCCAGTAATGTCAGAGTGGTGTTAGAGTGGTGGAGCCGTGTCACTCAAATACCTCAGATACTTCAGTGTTAGATTGCTGGAGCCGGGGGCCTCTGACAATTATTTTCAACAAGGACCTTGTACCCATGTTTAACATCATACAGGTCCCCAAAAAATGCTCTGTCATGGTGTTTCCTTCTATGGACCCTCCATATGTTCACCTAAAGCTCCTTAAAATATGTTGTCCTTTGTTCTTACCATACATGGATTTTTCTTGGGGTCAACTAAATGTCAGCAGTATGTTTAGAAACGTGGACGACTATATATACTTGAACGGTCTCAAACCAATCTTTGTTATGCTTCTGTTACACTTGTGGCATGATGAAGCTGTAACCCAGATCTGTAACTAGTAAAGCTTGTCAAAATGATCATTCGTGTGGACCTTCCATTTTTTAATGTGTGACCATGGGCTAGGCATCCTTATAATAAGATTAGCCACTGTGGTGATAACGATAAAAGTCCCGATAAAAAAATATATCATAATTCCAATCTATGTTTTTGACTCATTTTGTCTTGATAACACCAGTTGGAATAGTCAGATCAGATACAGATATAGATCCATTGTCCAATTGTACTTATCTAAGTTCCAATCTTGAAGGAAATCCCTCATGTGGAGCCTCGTTCAGTAAAGAGCTGCTCAGAAACATCTTCTTCTTCACCTTCAGCCATGTTTGTTTGTTATTCTGCTGTGTGGGCTATGGCTGTGAGTCAGTCGCTCGTGTTGATGTCATTAACTTGCATTTATCATATTTATCATAGAGGATTTTTCTGATGATATATCGTGAGCGACAATTTATCGCCCATCCCTCGTAGACAGCTATCTGCCTTGACATTAAACTTGTTTTAACTTCATTAGAAGGAAAGTTTGAAACCTTTTGTACATTTTTGAATGTAGAAAATGAAAAGGCCTAGTTCATAATGCACCATATGCTAATCATACACTTAAGCAATGTGTGCTTCAAAATTGTGTAAGCTTTCAGGTTGAAGGCCACTTTTTTTTTTAAAATTACATGATTTAAAACTTTCTATAAAAACAGAAGTCAAAGCTTTCTCTGGTCTTCTGCTTTATACAACTGAAATCAGCCAAGAGTTTTATCATTTAGCACCTCCAAAAGTGTTTTTTTCTTTTTGTTTTGATTCCAAACCTTGCACTGACTGAAGTAAATGTGTTTATTTCTTTCTTGATGTATTCCCTTCAGGGCGACTGTAAAAACGGGCTTGTCATTCAGTGCGGCGCGACCCAGTGACTCCACGCTGTGGGACATTGTTGTTGAGCCTGGCAGAGGAGCAACTCCCAACACTGTGTCTGTTGTCTGCCAGAGGAAGCTTGCTGTCACTGGAAAGAGGTCAGTCCAGTGCATGAATAGCCCATCCACACTGTATTCAACTCATGTTTGCTTCAAACTGCTCCTTTTTTTAATACATCCAAAACAATCTTGATCTTTTTTTGTGGCATATTTCCCTCTTACATTAATCCCTGAAGCCACCGTAGGGCAAAGCAATCAGTTATCACAAAATAAATATCTATGATGTTATGTATGCTCAGCAGCACAGCACAGATTGAAAATGAATCATTTCTGTTTTTTTTTTCCAGAGAAAAGTAATCATATGTGGCCTTGAAATAGGAAAAAAAAAGAGAAGCAGTGAAGTGCAGACAAATCTTTTGGTCCATGTGAAAGAAAATGTTCATCCAGCGGCCTTTGTTTTTGTTAGAGAGTGAAAAATTACCTATTGAATGAGTAACTAAAGTCATCTCACTCTCACTTCTAACATCAGTAAAATGTCCACAATATGTTGATATGTCTTTGTTCGTATTTAGTTTACATTAGAATATGAAAAAAAGGAAAATACAGTGAAAACTGGTGTATTTGTGGTGTAAAATATTAATTTATTACTCTTGCTTGTTTTCATTTTAATGCAAGTTGGTTGATTTAAAGCTGTACTTACTTTTAATTTAAGTTTTAACCAGAATTTTAATCCCACCATAATGGTCCATTTAAAAAAATAATAATAATAAAATAAAATAATAATAATAATAATAATAAAGAGTGGGTAAATAAATCTCATGACACTTTTAACACACTGTGGAGCAGGTTTAGACATCTTTAATTTTTTTGTTTTCAACACACATCCACTCCTGGTATGTAAAAGGCCAAGAGAAACACATTTATTACAGGCAGAAACCTCAAGAAGAACTAGATTCAATGTTTGTTTGTCATCTGCTTCAACCAGATTGGTCGAGTAAGTGGTGAAGTGGGATTGATAAAGAAAAAGAAACATATGGAACATATGGAAAAGACTGCAAAATTTAAAAAAAAAGAGATAAAACACCAATTTTTGCTAGTAAAAAGGCAGGCTATTGAACTTTCAAAACATCATAAAAGAATTTGTATTATATTGTTTTTCATTTAGAAGAGACGGTGGTGTTGGCACCCATGTGAAGCTGATTTAGAGCAGATTAAGTCAAAATGCCAATAATCAGTCTGTCTCTTCTGCGCACACACCAGCTTCACCCCAACCCTGCATGAGCTAATGTCACCTTGAATATCACCAAAATAAAGACATTTAACCCTGTGGAAAAATAAGTAAACCAAGATTGAGATCCTGCCCTTCTCTGATAATGCTTCTGATACGTCAGCTAATAACTGTATTCTTTGTATCCAGTAAATGAAGTAAACTCTGTGCCTTAAGTGCAACTGTACATGTCTCTGCCAAATTTACTTCTGTTTCTGCTGTCCAGTGCGAAGCTTTCAGCAGCTTTAACAACAGTCAGTGTATTGACATACCTCATACATTGGCGTGTGTAAGAGGCGGAGCTAAGGGGGGTGGAATATGCCTGCTTAAACCTAGTCTATGTAAGCAGAGGGGCTTAGATCTATCTATTGTGTGCGAGTAGTAATATGCCAGATTGCAGGTTTGATTTACAGTATGTAATGTCATACAAATCTACGAATTTAGCCGGTTTATAGTCTTAAAACTACTGAGATGAATTGTGATTAAAAGTAACGGTACATGTGTCAAAGTGCCGTTGAAATGCTTCTACTTCTATCACATTCAGAGTATATTATAAACAGAAGTTGGATACTCCTGCTTTACTTTTATGTTGTTACACACCAGCAGCCACCTCTGCCCGGCAACCTCCCGCCAATTCAGACGTAAACACGTGCGTACACACAGACACAGAGCCTAGCATTCGTCCGTCCGTCCGACCCACTTATCTGTAATCATCCATAATCACGGCTACGTTATCCGGGCTTAAGCACTTGCACGTTCAGAGAGGGAGATTAGGAAGTAGAGATATTCCAGTTCGTGTGACTTGCACTGAACTAACACACTCACACACACACACACACACTCACACCACTGCGCTGAGAAGCAATGATACGTCCAGCGGTTTAAAGTCCTCACTAATAGTTTTCCAGGAAATATGGGGCATTAACCCTTTCAGTGCTACTCTGTCCAGCTCTCATGAAACATGTTTCAGTGTGTGATATTTCAGTTTGAGTCAAAGTTTTATGTCTATTTAACTTTTAATCACTTTCCGTCTTGTTTTTGAGTTTACTTGACAAATAGATGAACGAGCCTAGGAGGAAAAATCAAGCTCTACAAGCCATTTTCTGTTGTTTACACATTTTTCTTTTGCTGAGATAAGTTAGCAAGCTGTTAGCAGTTTTCGTCCTTCCGCATATCATGATCATAGCTGCTAGTTTCTTAGAGATGCTGCACAAGAACTGTGTTTATCCATTATTCATTTTTAACATCTCCATTTCTTCTGGACAAAAGTTTGAAATCTTCTGCCTGGTGCATCAACTGAATAATACTGGATTAGATTGTTTTTATTTTCACTCTAGTATTATTGTGGTTTAATTTTTCAGTCCAAACACAGAGGTGCACACACAAACTTAGAAAAATAAGGAGTGCAGTACACTTTTTTTTCATGAATGACCCAGAGAGTAGGGCTGGGCGATGTGGGAAAAAGTTTATCACGATATATTTTTTTCATATCAGTCGATATCGATATATATTTATCATGATATGAAAAAAATTCTTGTCTATCTTGAATGTTCCCTGTTACTTTTAGATGAAATTTAACAGTACTTATTGGTTGCATGTCTTTTGCAGTACAATAAGCTTCTGCATCTGTGAGGTCTTTGTGTCGACTGCTTTGGCTGCACAAGCGCCGTGGGCTGCTTCACACTTGCTCCGTGAAAAAGATTTGAGTTATTCCCGGACTTTGCAAGAACATGTACTCGATATAATTTGCAGCGCACATTACTCTGCTTCATGTTCAACTTCAAAAAACTAAAATACCTCCACACCACCGACGTTTTCGTGCCAGTGTTGTCAACGATGTCGTCATCTGTTGAGCCTTCATCTGCGTTTCTGCCGGGGGTAGCACTCATTTTCTCTTTTTCTCACCAACAGAGCTGTCGGCTTCATGTGTTAAAGTGCTATGGTTGCGTGTAGCTGCAGCCTGCTACTACACAGTTGTTCACTAGTTATTGCCCAGCCCTACCAGAATCAGACTTAATGTCCTTTTTGTGGTTCTTTTCATTACTTGGAAAGTCCTCCACTCTTTTTTGACAGTACATGAATATATGGTAGAGGTTTTCATAGGAGTAGATGTTGCTGTTTACCCTCCTTGTTGCTGGTTCCAATATACCTCATTCTCTATAAAAGTGAGTTCTCACTGTGTAGTGCAGAGGTTCATTGTTTTGCTCTATGCAAAGTTTTGCTCCACTTCAAAGTGCCACAGGTCCATTCGCATTCAACTCTGTTTCCCCTTTGATCTGTTCCTCCTGGCAGGTCTATGCCTGCGCCCTCTCCCCAGCATCAAATAACATCACATGTCATTTCTCTGACAATCCTTTGACCAGAATATTCGGCTCAGAGTCTCTGCCAGCACACTTAATCTTCCCTCCACACTCTTGCCTTATTCCTCTGCTGATGGAAATGAGACCTCTCGTGGATTGCCTTCACTTTGAGTTCAGACTCTGCAGTTTTCTTTGCAGAGTAATTTCCTTCTCTTTTGTTTTTCATAGGGAGTGTCTCAGTTCATATATTTAAATTTTCTCTCCAAGGAACATAAGAGGGTTTTTAAGAGGCGTTTTTGTCTCTCTCGATACCAGATTGAGTTTTATACAATTGTCAAACATGACAGTTTCCTAAGGTTCAAAAAACAAATAGGTGATAGGAAAACGCTTGGATTCTGTTGCATTTTTAACTGGCTAAAAACATGTTATCATACTGCATTACTTCAAGTTGCTGAGCTGTTGTCTTATATGACTAAAATGTAGCTGTGATAATATGCCAGCCATATTTAATCAGACACGTACATGTTTCAAAAGAATTAAGTGGGTGGTTGTGCAAAAACTTTTAAGTGCTGAGTCATGTTTTAACATTTAACCTATGCTGAAACTTACTTTGACTAAATTTGCATAATTGAACTCGTGTATTATCCCACTTTGGTCATTACTCCGCTATGTAAACATACCCTGATTAAAAAGTGAACTTGAGACTCATAAAACAGTATGACCTTTATATATAATACATGCATACAAAGTCAGGTCCCTTTGAATCTTCTCTAATGTGGAAAACCCAACAAGTTATGTCTCGATTTTTCTAGCATCACTGATGTTTACAACTTCCTTACCACTTTCTAACCACATGTATTCTGATATCTTGATAACGTCTCTTGATAGGGGTCTCCTGGAAGTTTTGCAACTTGACTTCATCCCGAAAGACGTCTCTGAGCAGATTGAGAGTCAGGTTATTTCTTGGCGATTGGAGCTGCCGGGTAACGTCAAGGATGTGGGGACGATGCGGATCTACACGACTCGGAAAGACTATGTGGGGCTGGCACCGCTAGTCACGGTGAGGACAGAATACCTTTTTATTTCTGTATTGTTTGAAACGAGATTTCACAAATGTCAAAAACTCCTCACAGGAACTTTATCGACAGTTAAAGACACTTTAAACTTTAACTGCCTGATAATTCTCTATACAAAAAACTAAGATGAGGTTATATCACTAGAGGTTTACTCAATTTATGTGCAATTTTTCTCGTTTCAAAATGTCAGTATTTGCAAAGAAAAGTGCAGCATCTCTGGGTCCTTTGCGCAGATGTTTTAGGCTCAGTCACGCCATCTGGATTTGTTTTAAGTGGGTCTTCTCATATTAATGTCATCTCATTTGCACGCTTCCACTGTATGAAAAAGGCGAAAAACATGACAGCTCCCAAGAAAACAAGGCAGTACTTTTGGTGCTACCCCTGCTGTCTGTTGGCAGTAAAGGTCATGAGCCCTCGTCTCTGTGTTAACAGATGGGACGGCAGTCAGACTCCGGGATCTAGATATATGTCATCAGATTTTTGGTCACACATTGGTTCTCATCTCACAGTTAATTCTTATCATGTTGATTTACGACCAAGAGTTCATTTTTCCTAATGTTTAGTTTTCACTTGTTTACCGAATTTCCCTTGGGGATAAATAAAGTATTTTGATTCTAACGATTGATTCGTCATGTGATGTAGGGTAAAGTCATGAATGACAGCTTTGTTTGCAAATGCAGCGGTGTAGAGGTGGAACAGGGAGAGCAATCACGACAGAAATCTACTGAAAAATAACTAAACTCTATAATATCTGCTTTAAAACTTATAAAAATGATACTGTGTCGTAGACCAGGAGAATAAAAATGAAAAAAAAAATAAAAAAACATGCACACATCCTTTCTGCCCAAAGTTGGGTGGGTGCTGGACCAAAAAAAAGATTTATTAATTGAAGTTACATCACTTTACATGACGTCATCTGAGGAAAAGCCTGCGTGCTCAAAAGGTCATGTAACTTTAATAAATCTTTTTGCATTGCATTCTGGTGTTGCAAACTTTCTTCGGCCTCTCAACTGCAGGCATGCAAAAACACGTCAGCCAAACATCCATATTCTTATTTAAGAAGAAGGATACAGGTAGTCCTTATGTTTAGACTGAAGCAGTGATTGGACTGTGTACAAAGTAGACACAAAGGTGATTCTGTATACATTATATACTGGTACACAGCTTATGATACTGAATTGAACTAGCTTGCAAAAGATGCACGTTTTGATCTGCATGGTTTTATTTCAAATGCAATGGCTATTTAACTTAGTACTTTTACAAACATGTATAGAATATTCAAGTTTCATCTTGAGAAATAAAGCTGGTAAGATAGAGCTGAAACTGCAGTCCTTTGAGTGTCTCCATGAGGTAGCCTTCAAAAGCACCATGAGTCCCACCCATTCACCTTCACAGCAAGAACAGACTTGCTTACAGCCTGATTCAAAAGATGGTTTTGGTCTGGATTGACAATTTCTCACTTTATATTTAGGATATTTAGGTCATGAGTTTTGCATTATCAGAGGCATGGTTAAAACTTTGATCTTGATTAGTTAGATTGGGCAGCATTTCTGATATGACAACCGCTGACAACTGAATTCAGAACTCTTCCTCAAAAGCCAATATGCAAAAACATCGATACTACGTCTGTGTATTATACAATCTATGCTCATGACCCCTTACCGCCTCTGTACTTAATGAAAACCTGCCGTTTTATTTGGATCTAAACATGTCCCCTGTGAGAGGTGTTATCATGATGAGTCAATGTTTCACTCACACCTTTATTTGGGTTTTTGAATAAAATGATCTGCCCCTAAACATCACCTGAGAAAAAAAAGACAGTTTACTTCAGGGAGTTATTTGTTTTGACATTTAACCAACAATAACCATCAGAGTAAACATTTATACTCTTATCCTTTGCTTGACTGTTGTTATGGAAAAGAACAAAGATATTACAGCGTGGCATTTAGTTTCATATCTCTTAATTTTTCAGCATTTATATTACTACTATGCAATTGTGTTGAAGACCTTTAAAATATGCAGCTTTCAGCAGAAATACCAGGTAGATACATCACTATCTTTGTCCTGAGATTCAAAAGGTTATTTCATGGTACAATGGTCAGCATGTCTCCAAGAAACCGTAGGGAGGAGAGATGTTTCATTTGAGTCAGAGAGGAAGCTTTTTGGATTGCATAAATATTTTCTTCTTTTTCAGAGAAATCGCTGAGGCTTAACATTCATATTTATAGCTGAGCATAATTGCAACGCCGCCCTAATGTGAACCCTCTGCGGGCCCCTGTAAATATAACAATGTTTTTTAAAAGAGAGGCAGATTTAAGCAAGAGCTAAACCATTTGAGCTGAGCTTGATCACCGCTGTGAGATTACTGCAGAGCTGGCAGAGACGTTGGACGTCAGCGCCCCTCAGCGTGGTGCTGCCAGCACGGCGCAGCGCTGATATTGCTCTGATTTTGTCTCTACCCCTGTGATCCCGTGGCTTATGTTTGGGTCAGTGTTGCAGTCTGAACTAGAGCGTGTCCTTTTGGAATTGCGGTCAGCAGCTGTCAAGCCGACAGAGTTCAGAGTTTGAAGCTGCGGGGAAACATCTGCCTGCTGCTTTAGACTACAAGCATCAGTCGGTGGAAAAAAAAAAAAAAAAACACTGATCAGCCAGAGCGCATTACAGACCCACTGCTGCTACCTATAAAAGATACAAAAAACTGGATGAGGTTTCTTATTAACTGGGAAGTAGTCATAATCCCTGCATGGAGGAGTTAAGTCTAAAAATAAATCTTCATAGGGCTTGATGGCAACCTGTTGGATGTATCGAAGGCTGAGCTACAAGTTTAGATTCACAGGACAAGGTTGGAAAATGGATTGGAGGATTAGAAATGTAATCAGGTTAAGGTGTTTGAGAGGTGATCTACGGTTTGTATTAAACAGTTTAGCAGAGGATTCATTTTTTTCAGGTGTGTGTTTGTGTGTTTGTGAAGGACACACAGGCCCTGATATTTTTTTTTGCACATCTGTCCAGTTGTGTGTAGTTGTGAGTGTTTACTTGGAGGGATTTGAATGAATCAAGGTTTCTCGTCTGTGTTAATCCCTGTTAGACTTGCTAACACCGTCTGCATGTTATCCCTGCTTCCTCTCGAATGATTGAACTCTGCGTTACAGACAAGTAGGATCATACAAATGTGTGTAAGGTCAACTTTCTCCGTTACAACTCAGAGTCAGAATCAGATTTTTATCCTGGGGGAAAATTTGGCGACTGCTAGTTTGGGTCAGGGGCAGGTCAAGCTGAATGAGCAGACAGACTGTGATATCTCAGAAAATGAAAATATATTTAATGCTGAAATGTCAAATAAGCTATACTTGGGCTTTATACCTGAGTGTGGCAGCAAGGTGTAGATATTATGTGTGGGAAACAGTAAAAATTCACCTCTGTGATATTAATCAAGAGGCAGACACCACCCTGTTGAGTGAGCAGCGTCTTTGTGAAAATGAGGCCATGTGTGCTGCTCTGCATACAGAGATGGGCGGCACTGGGTGTAATACACTTTTGTAAGCATCAAGGACAACTTGTATTTGTTATTTCTGAAAAGATTATATCTTATTGTCAGCCCGCTGTTTGGCTGTGTGAGCACAGTGTGAGTGAAACCAGACATTTCTTCAATTTCAAATCTCTTGTTTTTTTAAGTACAAAGTTCAGATAAAAATATTATACTTTAGAAATGTTTAATAAACTTAAAATGAACATAAGCAATGTGCCCCCATCCCAATATTTATGCTCAACTGATAGTCCCCCATGCTTCAACATGGCCCCTAATGTCCTCCACAACCCAGACAAGAAGAAAGATGGCCAACAAGAGGGAATTACATCACTGAGGTTTTCAAGTGAGCGCCCCTCTTCAACAGCGTTACGTCAAGTTTGGACCACAACACCTTGTTGAAGCTCAACAGTTAGCTCTAAAGTCCCTCTACTCCCACACAAACTCACTCTCAAAAAAGGAAAGAAAGGGAAAAAAAAACACACCAGAGTGGAGGGTCTGTAGAGAGGTGTTAGGAAATGAAAAGGGAAGAAAAAAACGGAGTAAGAGGTAGGGCTGGGCGATAAACAGAAAATATACCGATACTGAAATTTAAGACAACAACCAACGTCATTTTGCCCATATCAGTATATTTGGTGTCAAAAAAATAAATAAATAAGAGTTGGTTTTGGATGTGTGTAGGTAGGCTATGGTCTCATGTCCCTTTAAGACGCTGTTCTACATCAGAGACATGACTCCACCCCATCCAGTCCTTAACAAAGAGGGAAAGACAGGTGAGGAGATGGAGGACAGTTCAAAAGTTGTAGCAGCTTGAGCAGCAGCTGAAGTAAACAAAGTTAATGTTGGAGGGGGTGAGCAGCTTGTGGAGTGGTTATCATCAATTTATCATTAACAAGGTGAACTGCTCAATATATTGTGATATTGATTTGAGGCCATATCACCCAGCCCTAGTGAGAGGCATGTTTGGTCTGGGCCTAAACCAGCCACAATGCACTGTGTCTTACATATTTTATGGTCAAGAGAGGAAGGAGGCGAGAAAAGGTGGTGATATGGTGGAGATTGGTGTTAAAGAGAGGACACAGACACAGTGTTGATATGTTTTAATTTCTTCCATATAACAAACAGCACAAAGGTTAATCTAAGCCTCGCACCCTCAAAAGAATTGTACTACAGCTCATATTTCCTCAAAACTACCGTCGCCTGGTCATTTCATCACACTTTAAAAACTAAAGTGCTGTCTGTTCTTTTGTCACAGAGCTCTGATATCATCAATACGGCAGTGCTGACGGGTAAAATGGTGTCTGTCCCTGTGAAAACTCTGGCAGTGGAAGCTGACGGCTCTGTCACTGATGTTACCAACTTCACCAGCTGTAAGTCTACAGAGGACAGTATACTTAAGGTAAGAAAATAGATCCGCAATGACAGTTGTAAATACATGTACGAATGGACTGTTTAAAAAAAAAAAGATGCAGATGTTGCCAAGAACCATAAACCAAAGTTTTAAAATATTTTATTCTTTGTGATTTGTGATAATCTATAATTTATTGAAATCAAGTGCAATCTCATGCCAACTTTGTAGCATTCAAATCTTGCAGATTTTTACTTGGAGACGTTTTAAATAAAGTTCTGTGAGTGAATTACTGCCAGAGCTGGGCAGCCTGATCATAAAGTATTCTCTGTGTATGCGAACTTGCATATACTTGCATACATAATATACATGATGAGCTGACTTTGTTTTATAAAAGTGGAAAACTTACTCTTTTACTTTCTCTCTTAAGAAAGTTTTATAACTGTATCTAATTTCAGTAAGAAATTAAAATTAATTATTTAGGCCTCATTTCCATACAAAGTGCTTTTGTTGAAAGTTTGATAATTATTAATATGAATTTGAAAACATTAAAAAACGATAAGTAATTTATTTTGGGGAGTTTATAACTTCAGAAAATCCACTGTCAATGTGCCGTCTCACTCAACAGGTTCTTTGTGTATGTGAGTGAGCATTTGGTGTGTGTGTGTGTTTCAGTGTAGTGGTTAAAAGCAGGCTCCATATGGCATTAGCGACAGGGCTCATGATCCCAGCACTCAGTCCATAATCACAGTGGTTTGACCTTTGTGTAATGGATCCATGTCAGTGGGGCAGTGGTGGCAGAGTCACAGCCACAGAGGAGAGAATAACAGAGAAGGTGGAAAGGATTTAGGATACTGTTTTTCCATTAGACGACATGGCAAGCGTGAATGTGATGCAGTGTTGGAGCTTTAGAGGAGAAGACAGGACCAAAGAGATGAGAAGACAATGTGAGATGATTTTCTGTGTCAGGATCTAAGATTAGTTATTGTCTCTCTGGAATTTTCCCTTGTGGGACTAATAAAGGAGTGTCTTATCTTATCTCTTATCTGAATGGTCTTGTCTACTTCTTGTGGTCACTTACTGCTCTTTGGGCACCTGTTGGATGATGTTAAAGCTTGAAATCACAGCCTCCACCTCTCAAACACCAACTACAACTGGAAATCTATTGTAGCAACTATTTCATTACAACCACATCTTTAAAGTTAAAGGGATATTTCAGTGTGAAATTAAGTTACCAAGTGCAGCGGATCATTTCCTTGAAGTAATAATCATCATAATAATCATTTTGCACTGCAGACGCGGTAGTTCTTCTGTCTTAGAAGTAATGATCATAAATGTTGTTCCTTGAGCTGCGAAACTCCGCTGCACTCAGTGATCAACTCGTCAGGGCTACCCCACAAACAAGCGGCTGCTGGAGGAGAGTGGGTGAGTTGTGTTTGGTCTCTTTGCTAAAGAAATTAGGCAAAGCTAAAAAGATGTTTGGTGGCTAGTCCTATGAAGTTAGGTGTTGTTCTGAGCATTATTTGTGGCTATAGAGTGGTGTTTTGGTTGAGGTTTGCGCATGGCTCCGTAGACCGCTGTGTATTGCTATCATGCGGTTGTTACTTAAGTTGGTATAATTAGAGAAGCAAGCAGTCAGCAACATTCATCTCTGGAGGGGATGTCTAACTCAATGTTATGGTGTGTTTGACCACAACTTAAATTTATGCAGGAATATCCCTTTAAGATGCATCATGACACTTAATTTTCTTTCACAGACCATGCACAGAAAGAGTGTGGAAATATTCATGCTGTGGTTGTATAATGAACTCTATTGGAGCTGGTGTTTGCTGCAAGTCATGCAAGAACCTTGTATCTCAATATTCCCTCATTTAATTAATGCTTTTGATTTGTCTTAATGCCTTCAGTGGGTTTTAAAATATTTAATGGATGAAAAGTCTTTAAAAAAGCTTGAGGGTGAATCTCTTGCAGTTTTAGACAAAATATTGTAGAACACAGTGCTGCTGGAGATACAAGGTTTCTGCCTGATGAAGACAATGTGTTGATTAATAGGATTATTTTGGACCACATAATGAATCTGAGTTTATTATTCACTCCTCCTCACCAGTTTCTGAAAAGTTTGATACTCTTGCATAACATTTGAACAGCTGCATAATTATGTATAACTGCACAAGTTCACATAAAACTTTGATAAAAGAGGGTTAAAAAACATCCTCACTTCACTCAAAAAGACAAGCAGACAGTGCTGAAATTAAGGACCAAAAACTAGAGACTGCAGAAAGACTTTAAGAAGTTGTGGTGTTTTTGCTTGATTTTTTGTTTTTTTTTAGATGTTTTTTGTAGTGTTTTCTACTTTAATTGGAAATCTGCTAAAGACATCAGAGACCAGACCTTTCTGAATCACAGAATAAAGTCTTCACCGTCTGGTCCCTCTTGACATTTTCAGGAGTTCAAGTTGACTTACCTTGGAAGTCATTCCCCCCCTCTGCATTTGCCTCCTCTTTTTTCCTCCTCCTCCTTTTTACCGTCCTTCTTTCCAGTGCTTCACTCTATTCTCCAGTCTAGTGCCCTCCAATTACCTCTGTGGAGCCACTGGTTTCTTAAGATAAGTGAGGCGGGGGTGGAGATAGGCTCTCCAATCTCAAATAAAACACACCAACTGCTGTGTCTCACCTCATTGCTCTGACTGGTGGGGACCACAATGCTCCCACCTATGGTACAGCACTATAGGAAGTGGCGCAAAGCAGAGCTGATTTATATTCTGGGGCTGTTTCATCCAGACCGCAGCCCTGAATTTACATGACATAAACAGAAACATTGTGCGGTTCCCTTGCCACACTGGAAGGAGGGTAAAATGAATATAAAGTGTGTGTGTGTGTGTGGTTTTAGCTTATTGGTATTGGTGCTTCTCTTCTCCCCACTACTCTTTTTGTCAGTTCTTACTAAAACTTTCCTCTTTATTTTCCTCTGGGCTTTAAATTGAGTAAGTTGAGTCCAAATCACTTGACAACAGTTCAAGCATACTCCACTCTGGTTATTTTAAAGTTTAACTAAACTTTTTAAAATCACTCTCTCGCCCTACATCAAAATATATTTTTTACGTGACAGAGTGGCAGTAAAGCAAGTTTTTAAACTGGGTTTTTACATGAGCTCCATTATAATTAACACTTTCTTTTCCAGGTTTCAGAGGGATGTGATTATGTCTACGTGAACGGGAAGGAGAGACGGGGGAAGACGAAGGTGATGCTCAACTTCACTTATGGATTCCTGAGTGCCCAGTTGGAGATGAACTCTTGGGTGCCCCGCCTGCCCTTGCTCATTGATGTGGCCGACCCTGAGCTCAGCCAGATCAAAGGCTGGAGAGTCCCTGTAACTACAGGGAACAGGAGGTAAGGCTGGAGCAGGTTTGTTTGGAACGGTCACAGTTGTAAATAGATGTACAATCCTTGGCAGAGGTCCTGTTAGCTGGACTCTGCAGGTGCCCGGTCAATGGATTTAATATCAAACTGAAATAACAACAATGGCATTACAAATTGATTTTATGCATGTGTCACACTGCATGGAAAGTGAGCGCTGTGGTATTTTGAAAACTCCTTTCGTCACCAAAGTAGATCAATGAAAAGTTAACACCAAGTCAATTTCATGCAAGGTTTTGCAGTCCTAGTAAAACTGTTTTGTTTTTCAGCCAATGTTAATGTTAATTAATTCACAATTAAAGACAAATTTACATTTTTACAGTGGGTATGATAAAGGCTCACTGATATCATTTTTCAAAGTCAGCTCTTTGCAGTTAGCCTACATAAGGCTGGGGGATGGTGGCTGAGGAGGGCCAACCATCTGCAATGGTCTGAACAATCCTCGTGAGGAGAAACATGTTTTAAATGTAGAAACAACTCAACTTAAAAAAAAAAAAAGTGCAAAAGTCCAAAACAAACACAACTGTTGAAAAAAAAAGTGCTGCAAGATGTCAACACAACTGCATGAAGAGCAAAAGTGCTACAAATACACAAATGACCTGAAGCAAAAACACAAAAACATACAAACGCAGAAAGCAGCTGCAAAGAACGAAATAATAAAAGTGCTCCAGGTCTGTGGGGGTGCTCATTGACAAAGCATTATTAATGAGATAGAGAAGACCAGACTCGGTTGAACCCAATCAGATCTGGGTGTCTCTTATGACAATACAGCAGTGTTATCACCTAGCTAGTGTCTTGCGCAGTCTAAGAGTTGTGTGGGGGTGTTTAGGTCTGGGGCACAAAGCAACAACTCAGAAAAGTCTTGGATTGAAAAAGTTACTGGAGTATTTTAAAGTTATGGCAAATGAGTTGGGAGGGGTGCTCACAAGTTGGCTCAGTTAATAGCGATCTCAAATATCCAATCATTCATACTGCAGCCAAAAGATTTCCTGATTTTGACAGCAGGGATGGAGAAGGCACCGTGGGGATAGGAGATGGACAGGAGGGCTGTCAGGTTCAGTTCTCCTCCTGTCACTGGAGAACTGTGTGTTGATTGAGCAGCAGCCCTGGGATAACTGCAGTCCAGCCCTGAAAAAAGTTAGGCTGAGCTGCAGGGTGCAGCTTCTCCCTGCTAGTCATATGGCTAGTGGTAAATGAAGCTCTGAAAACTTCGGTATGTTGACTTTGAGGCTCCTCAAGCTGCTTACATTAGCCCCAAACACCTGAAGCAGGCACGTAGACCCCCACTCAGGTTTCCCAGGGTGAGGAGAATTATTACTCCTGACATCCCTACCTCGTCTTCTCCATTACTACTGTCAGAATCCAGTTGGATCTCCTGACTACTGTGATTTTAGTTGCTCTACGATATCAAACTGTGCAACCTTCCTTAGACAGTTCACTTCTTCACTGTCTAAGTGGCAAAGCTGTGCCACACAGCGCCCCCGCAGGCCAGGAGTACTTCAATTTTATCATTATTTGCAATTGCATTCTGCATTTGTGGTTTTTGTTTGGTGTCATTTGTGTATTTGCAGTGTTTTTTATGCAGTTCTTTTGCCATTTTGCAGCACTTTTTTTAAATTAGCAGGGCGTTTTAACAGTTTTGACTTTACTTTTTCCTTGTCTTAATGCATGTTTTGGGGTAAAAGTTTTGCATGCTGTCACCTATTTTTTTCCACATTCAATCTTGTGATAATCTTTGATGGGGTCTGAGAGCTGTGTACTGGTCTGAACCCGCCAAAGGCACCTTTCCTTGTCAGATCAATTCAAAGTTTATCTGCTGTCAGAAAATGAGGTGTTGATTTGCTGCTCCCTGTTTTATGATTTTCTATTTTTTAATCTTTAGGCTCAGGGTCATATCACTCAAAGTCAAAAAAGTTGAAGTACAAGTCCTGTGAAATGAGCTCACACCTCTGGTAAAATGGACTGATATGAGAGATGCAGTGAAAATTGAATTACAAGAGTCATAAAGGAAATGCTTCTTTTATATGGTGCTTCCTGACAGGTGAATTATTTTAGGCTGTTTAACCAGGAAGCAGACAATCAATTGCATATGCTGATATAGAGTATTGTTGGTACAAAGGTAAAGGAATAGGGAGCCAACGTTTATAAAAGGTGTGATGATGTACCTATAGAAAGTTTATAGCCGGTTCATGTCTGCACAGTGTCGGTGAGTTGAGAGTGCATCTGCACTGTGCCTCTCATGTAGGCGGCCATAAAAACATCACATCTGTTTGTAACATTTGTGGGTAGAAGCCTGCAGAAGCACCGCAGTTGCCCTGCAGATAAAGGTTAGTGGGTTTTCACTCAATACTTACAGTACAGTCATTATTTTACACTCAATACTAATGATGATGGCTGGCTGATGGGCTGTTAGTTTTTTTTTCTCCTGTGTGGCTTCATTTCCCCTCAAACATTCAATACCCGGCTGCAGATGTGCACAGATACTAGGTCAGAGATGTGGGGATTGAAATGGCTGGCTTGAACTCAGAAATGAAGGCCATGTACGCACGTAGCCGGGTATTTTTACAAACGAATATCCAACCCCCTTCATTTTACAAAAAAAAAGTCACACACATATCATCATTTTCAAATAGAATCCCATCCACGCAAAACTGCATAAGTGTGCTACTGACCACAGTTATGAGCACGCCAGACCTAGAGTTGGTAGTATTTGCCAAAAAGTTAGATCCATCCAATCAGACCAAGCTTACCTTTCTCGTTGCTTCTGCAAACATGAAACATAGCTCTGTGTAGTTTGTTCATGTGGACCGACAAAGAGATGGAATTGCTTTTAAGGATCGTTTTGGTGTATGAAGTCAACAAGACACAAGAAAGGTGGAAAGGAAAAGGGTTATTTGGTGTAGAATAACCGACTGCAAAATACTCCTTCTCCTTTGCTCCTTACAAAAATATATATTCTGTATATATCTGTGCTGCTTCGTATATGACATTTATTCATTAGTTGTCGCGGACACTGACGTTTGGGAATTTAAAACTCCAGTTATCTATGTCCACACACAAACGCAAAATATGTCCACATACAAATGCAAAAGTTTTATAAAATCTTCACTAAGGCTGGAGTTTTCTAAAAGCACTCATTCAGCTTCGTGTGGATGACAGGTCGAGTGGTACAAAAATATATATGTGTTTTAGCAGGTACTCGGCTACGTGTGTACATGGCCAAAGAAGAGCTGAAATCACTGTGCAACAGTGATTTCTGGTTTCAAACTTTAAGCTAATATGGAAAAACTTAAATTGTAAATAAAACTTGAACATACTTAGACACACTTCTTCTTTTCAAAGCTTTTTCTTTATATATGTCTATTGGGTAGAAATAGACTCAACCACTTATACTTGGTCAAATGTCATAGAGTTCAGCACTGTTAATAAAGGTGGAGTTGTAATGTCAATTAGTATTCTGGCGACCTAATAGAGACTATTGAGTCACTGAGTTAAGTATAGAAATGTGATGTCAAAGTGATTTCAAAGGCACAGTAATTTAATTACACCAATTACAAGCTTTTAAAAATAACCTAGTTAGTCTAGTTTATTTCCAGACAGTTAAAGACGGGTTCATTATCATCAATCTCCAATCATTTGACAAAAGGTTTAGTTGCTATCAAGAATTGAGTCATACCTTTACAATTCAAGCAGCATCTCCATCACATGCTAACTTCCCACCTCAGGCTATATAATAATGATGTTTATTTGGACTGTAGCTCTTGACTGAAGCTCTCCGCCTGCTGTGTGAAAAAAATATCCAGCAGCCCTCCAGCACACCTGCAGTGTGGAGCGTGGTGACCCAGCTGTGCTTATGATAATTATATGATCATTGCTGAGGGGCTTGAGGATGGGTTGCAGCTTAACCTCCATCACCTGCAAATAAAACAGTCAGCCGTGGAAACCTGGTTAATTTACCTTAAATTCATTTAACAGGAAAGGTCACTCATGAATGCTTTGTGCCTCCACAGTTTCGGCGAAAGCACAGCTGCTCCCTTTTTGACTTTAGTATCTCTTTCTCAGCCAAAAGGAAGCAAAAGTATGAAAAGGTTAATATAATTCAGCTCTGCTATCGTTTACAGGATTAAATTAGGATGTGATATTTGTAAGCTTTGAGACCTGCAGAAGATCTACTGAGTATTATTTTAAAATTCACTATTTGTTTTGGAGGGTTAAGGCCACACTGATAAATCTTGGTCTGATTTGGTAAAGAAAAACACCCACAACTACTCTCAACTCAGTTTATGCAAAGTATTAATTTACAATATCGTGTTAACTCAGCGTCCAAGAGGGGCTTTTTTTGCATCTACTAGTGTCTTAGTCACAATATCATAAAAGTTGTGCTTATGTCTCTATATATTGCTTGAAACTGTCAAAAAATACGTGACTCTTTGTGTCTCTTTACTTCTGTGTTTAAGGTCGACATGGGACAGTGAAGAAGAAGAGGAGATGAGGAAGGGCAGGGGTTGCATGCTTCAGTACCAGCACTCAACACTTCGGGTGCTGACACAGTTTGTCGCTCAGTCTGATGCCGATGTGCTGCCTGATCAGCGAGGTGGGGTGGAGCCTGTGAAGTACTTCCCGGGTCCTGATTGGAAGGTAAATTAGAAATCTTATTGATATGATCGCTGTCACTGGCAGAATTGATGTGATCCTGTCATAAATACATATACATTTTACTGATTATGTCTGGAGCATAGACTGTACATAGAATAGATGCAGTATGCCTCCTTTCTGGGTGAAGCCCCCACGAGAACAGCACCCTCTGGTGACGGGCTGCAGTATAGGTTATAAATCCCGCCTCCTCCAGTAATCCCTATGGAGCTATGGACAAATTTAGAAATTTATTACTCAGAATATAATTTTTTCTTCCCCCTGGTTGCGATGTTGACATGCAGTTACTGTAAGACTGGTTTGTGCTCAGTTTTTATTTTAGTTATTTGGAGGTTCATGTTTTCTATGATTGACACTTGATACGGCCTATGGGTGTACAAAGATGGTGTAGCTCACCGGGGGGATACGCTGTTTTAGCCGAGTGCCATCACAGCAACTCACAGTGACTCTTCCAGCGAATGCGTACAATGCTACTGTGCGATGTTGGTTTCAGGAAGTAGAGAAAAAACCTGGAAATACCGAGAGCTTTTTGGCTTCAAAGAATTTTAAGTACAAAGTGGCTTGGTTTAACAATAATACTGAAATATAAACATGATTTCTGATTATTTAAACATTTTATTCTCTTTTTTTGATGTGACTGACAGGTGGATGTAACTAATCTGGTCCGAAGTTCACTCAAAGTGACAGATCCTGAAATAGCCAGGGTGCAGGATGGGGCAGTGCTGCAGGGACGGGCAGTTGGCACCACTGCTGTGCAGGTAAGCCATGATGTGTTGGTGTTAGTGTGTTTTAGTGGTTTTCGCTGTTGCTTGCTGTAACTATACATATCCCACTGCAGTTTTTCTAAGAGGTTCCACTTGTTCCAGGTTGTGTCTCCTCTGTCCTCGTCAGTCCTGGCTGAAAGGAGCATTAGGGTGGTGGATGATAAAGTGAGCTTGACAGAGCTGGGGGTGCAGTTGGTGTCCGGGCTCTCTCTGTCCCTGAAGCCCAGTCCAGGGAGCAATAGGGCCTTTGTTGCCATGGCAACCACGCGGGAGATGATCACGCAGCTCAAACAGGCAAGTGACTGAAAAGCTGTAACACAAAACGCATAAAAGTGTGGCACTTTGCAGTTTAGGGGGGGTACTCATCTATTTTTATGCCTTTTGGTTTAACACTCACTCATTTTGAAGTTGTGGAGGACCATCTAACAGAATATGAAAATCATTTGACACAGAAAAAATGAGGCAGGGAATTACTAGGGAAATCATCAAACCATAATAGGGTTATATTAGCCACGTGATGTTCAGCACTATACTCTGTCACAGCTTTATCAATTCAATTCAACTTTATTTGTATGGCACTTTTCATACAAAAGGAGATGATATTCAAAGTGCCTCACAGAGGCTAAAAACAACAATAAAGATACACCCACCCACACACCCATGGACCCACACGCACACAGAGACACTCACCCACACATACACACACACACACACAACCACACACAGTGTGAGAATTTAAGATAAAATTTTAAAGAGACATGGCCTGACACCGAGACATTACATGAGGAACGAGCTACCTTTAGGAAACACTGGAGATAAAAATAAAGATAGAAAAGGTGAAAAGAGTAAAACATGATGGATTCAAATAAGAAAATAATAATAATATTAAATGAACAAAATAAAATAATAATTACAAATAATACAGTAAAAGAAGGAAAAACCTGTAATAATAATGAATAGAATAACATAAAATAAACATTAAGAACTTTGATTAAAATTAACATTTGTAATAAGAGAAATCTAAAATGGCAGTTAGTAAAAAGCTTGGTTAAAAAAGTGAGTCTTGAGCCTCTTCTTAAAAATATCAACAGTCACTGCGGCCCTAAGGCTCTTCGGCAGGCTGTTCCACAAATAAGAAATGACAGTCAATGTAAAGTAAAAAATCCCTGTGTTTATATCTGATCAATGAAAAACTGTTCACCAAGGCCTTTTCCCAAGCTCAAGGACTATCAGATTTTTCCCTTTAATCTAACTGTTGTTCGCTATTCATGTTCTTAAATCAGACATCATCCTTTGGTAAACAACATAGGGATCAGTATCAATGTCCACAGTTGACACAGCTTTATAATACTGAAGCATAAGTCGTCATCTTGTCATCACTATGCATTCAAATCTCTATTTAAATAGCACAAATGTTCTCCTCCCACTTGACAGATTTCTCAACAAACAGAGCCTGCTCATGTTTAAGGAGGAAGCTGCTTTACTGCTGCAGCCACCTTCGTCACCCGGAATTTGACGTCATCCTCTTTTACATGGTGCTAAAGACGCTCTTAGATCCAATTTTAGGAGCTGGGGCATCTGGGCTGAGATGCATCGGTACAAATCCAATCGGAAATGCATTTAAAACCCCTCCCAAATATAGATTAGACATTAGATTTAGAAAAAAAATCCACTGCATGTGTTTTACTGGCTTCTCTCGGCTAAATCCAAAATCAATCTTACAGTCTGAAATCGCCAGGAATTGTTTAAGCGTATTTTTACCCTCTTACCTTCTCACACATTTTAAACTCTGATCAACTGCCTTGAGACCACCTGTCAGTCTCAATCTCACTGACAAGATTTAATCAGAGAGCTTACGTAAGAGCAAAAACACTACTCCTTTACTCTGACTGCTGTAGCCTGTGATGGCATATTTACAGTTAAACATCCTGGATGTTCTCGGCTGTATTTTCTGTAACTGCTCTCTTGTTGTTTTTCAGCATATGCACATTTTTGCCCTTTCATTGAGCTGCTTCTGCTTTTGCCTCGCAAAGTCTTAACAAACAAGACAGTGACGATCCTATTGATTCTCATATTTTTGTTGTGTAAATGTACTTTGAATTGGCTGATGTCTGGTAAACAACAGCATACGTAACAAAATCACCAGCCAGGGGTAAAAAATCAATAATTGCTTTTAACTCAAGAGTCTTTTATTTATTTCCAGTCTGCGACAGCACCAGAACGCAGCTCTGTAGTTACCCCAACTAAGTACTTTCATATTGATCCCACAGTGGAGTAATATTGATGCCCAAGTGCGTCATTCTCCTCGTTTGATTAAATAGCGTTGAATTTTGACACATTAATTGGTTTGATGAATTTGTTGAAATTAACACAATATTTTGTATTTGTGCAACAACAATAATAATAAGTGGTTGGAAAGATACTGGAAGGGGAAGAAAAATCAGAAATTACGACATTCAGTGAAACGTGCACTTTGGGAAGTTAGATTGGATGGGTTTGATTTTAGAAGGTAAGAGGAAGCTTCAAGAGGAATGATGCAACTTTGAATGAAATACAGGAAATAGAGGGAAATGTCAGCAGTGACAGAGTTGGAGATTGAATCATTTGATAATGAAACTTATTTCTGATCCTTTTTCAAGTTTCTCTTGCTTTTAATCAGCACTTCTCTTGTATCTGCAGATCCTGAGAGTGACTCATGTGGTCCAGCTTAAATGCTCTGACTCCTGATACAATATCTCATTTTTCTCTAATAAATCTTGCCTGCCTATGTTTTAATGCTGTATCGAAGTTCAAAATGGTGCTAGTGATGGTGGAGGAAAAATTGCAAATGTAGCATATCCCCTTAAAGACTGATTTAACCCTGAAATCTTTCAATTTTATTAATGAAAATAGCACTTGATACTAGATTGGATAAGATTAAGCCCCACCTGGTAAAATCACACCTACTTCCAGAGGAGAATTAACAGGCAGAAACCTTCAGCAGAACCAGATTCATGTTAGACAGTCATCAGCCATTACTAATTTACCAGTAAAGTGGCATTTAATTGGAACACACTGAAAATAACTGCAGTATGAAGCAGTTGAGGGCTTTAGTTTTCAAGGACTTTAGTGCCTGATAGCCAAAAAAGTTAATGCATAAACAAACTGTTCCAACTCGCACATTTTCTCAAGCGAGGTGATAAAATGTTGCTGCACTGCGAAAGCTATAAGCACCACAAATAATATGATTCAAACAGCTATGTTGTAAACTCTCTGTGAATGGGGTTTTGAATCACCCTTTAAACTTTTTATGTTGAAGTTGTGTGTTATCAACGTATAAGTGTTCATTTCCCAACGACGATATAATGGGCTCCTACAGAGGTTTTCTGCGAAACAGAGCACATTTGCACAACAACAACCTTAAGGGTGTAGTAATATTTGTGTTTCCTCTTTGCCTCTCAGTATGCGGACTCATTGTGTTCACAGCCTCAACCATCATCTGCGGTTACCCTGCTGTTTGAGAGAGTGGGAGGGCAGACAGGGTGCCCAGATGATCATTTTAAAAGCTCCCTCGCACATTTAGCCATGGCAGCTTGCCCGGTTAAAAACAGCTCTCTGACACAGGCATGGTGCAACAATTAGGCCCCTCCACAGCTACAGAGTGATAGCTCACGTTACTCGGAGTACACTGTCACTGTGGCTGCTCTGCCCCCCTGTCAATAACAAAACTATTAGAACCGCGTCAGAGCAGATGACCAGCTAATTGTGTAGCTCATAGTGTAAGCTGTTAATGTTGTGCTCAGGGCGATTTAGAATGAATTGTTAACCAAAATATGGGTTAGGTCTGTGGCCCACAGACATTAGGAACAGGAAATAGGTCACTGTGTATTAATGTGATTGGATTGGCTTATCCTGCTATTTGCATAACCTACAATGACCTGTGACCCCTATTGCACTCTCTTGATCCATTTTGGTTAAGTTATAATTCATACTGTTACTGGAAACTATGATACAGAGCGTCCTACTGCGAGTAATGAGAGAGAGATTAGCAAAGGCAGTTTAGTGTTATTACCAATCATGAGAATGTGCCGCACTGTAGGCAGGGGATATATTGATTTACTCTGCTTGTGTTTTGACCTGCTTTTGATCACTCGATTAACTTACCCTCTACTTTTTTTCCCCCATTCTGAATCCCTTTCTCTTTTTTCCTTCTTATTTCCTTTTTTTTTTCATTTCTCTTTTTCTGTAACATCATCCGCCCAACTTCCTTTTCATTTTTTCCATTTATCTTGCCCACTCTGCTTCTCTCTATCCTGTCCTTCTTCTTTCTTTCCATTGTCTGTCTCACTTTCTCTTCTGTCACACTTTACCCCTACCTACCATTCATCTCTTTTTCTATTTCCCCTGATGGAGAGTGAGCCCAGACCTTTTCTTCTTGAAGCAGCCCTTCCCTGTTTGTCTCGTCCTCTTTCTATGGCCTGTTTGTGCTCACTGAATCCGTACTCGCACAGTATCAGTTCTGTTTTCTATCTCTGACTGAGTGGGTTATTCAAACATCTTATACTCTATCTTAATGGATAGATATCACTTTAGTCCATTTTAGAACTAAGTTTATTTTAATTAGTGATCTAAAAATATCTTTTTTGATTTGTTCATGACTTGTTTGACTCATTTCTGTTGTTTTGAGTCAGTACGGATGAGAGACTGAGTGTTTAATTTCACCATCAACTGATGAAGGGGACTGTTTTCAGGATTTGGGAACTCTTGTGTGCTGGGCGGTCCCCACACTTTCTTTCTTTTTTAACTAAATCCTACTGTCTTGATTTATGCACTTTTCATTTATTTGATTTCTTTCTCTTTCCTTACTTTTCTCCTTCTCCTTTTTTCTTCTCCTTTTTTCTGTTCCTTCCTTCCCTTTGTTCATTCTATCTTTCTTTCTGTCTTTTTTAAAGGCATGGTTGACGATCTGAGAAGCAGTTGTAAAAAACTGAGCCGGCAGATTTGAAAAAGCGTCCCACCCTCCACATGCAAACCTCTCCCCTCTGTGCTCCACAATAACTCCCCTCCCAAACCTGTATCGCCCTCCCCACGACACACCCCCTCTGACAGAGCAAGAAGCCGACCGGCAGATGATCCTATGCTACCTTCAAATAGGATTCACCATGTCAGATTGTTAGTGACTGACGGCTACCGAGCACTGTCTGCAGCTGCCTGGACAGCTCCCGTGTTGACATTGCAGAGACTAATAAGAGTTATTAATGTAGCATGAGCCACGATAAAAGGCAAAAATTATCCGTTCGACAAATACTCTGCTATTTTGGCGTCTGTTTTCAGGCCCAAATCCTGGCGGAGCTTTCTCCACCGCTCGAAGAATGACCTGATGTTTATTCGAGTTAGATTCCTCGCTTGGTCACATTTCCTCTTCGACTCTGCCATTCTTCTGTCAGCTTGCGTTTTCTCAGCAGTTTTGGCAGTGGGGCAAACAGAAGTGTTTTTTTCTGTCCTATATTCTGTTTTTTAATCCCTTTTTTATGCACTTTTCCTCATGACTTGCTTTAATTTGATATCCTTCTCTTTCTTTACTTCTCCCCCTCTCGTCTTTTCATCCCTTTTCCAGTCTTTCATGTCTTTCTTAGTCTAATTTCTTTCATTTCTTCATTTCAGGAAGCTGTGGTGAGCTGCTGGATTCAGTTCAGTGATGGAGCGGTCACCGCACTGGAGCTGTTCGACCGCAGTATCTACTCTCTGACTGTCTCCACCCCAGATGAAGCGGTTGCCACAGTCCGTCGCACCCCCAAGTCCACATTTGTTGTTGCGCAAGGTGAAGGTGAGGGCCGAGGGGTGGTTGTTCGAGTGGAGCTGAGAATCTGTGAGGAATGCCAGAAGTCCAAGAGGAAGAGCAAGTTGGCGGTGGGCACGGGGCTCCTCAGGATCAACTTTCAGAGCGGCAGCAGAGTTGCAGCGGCAGGTGGCACTGAGGGAAATAAAGCGTTTGATGGTGGTGCATCAGAATTGGTAGGTGAGCTTAAAACAACACAACGCACTTTCACAGGCGGGGATAAATGGTTTTTCAGAAGCACAGCAACAAATCAGCGAGGGACCAACCCAGTAACAACAACCACATCCAGCCCATTCTCGACCAGAAATATGCCGCCTCATGTTGTGTGGATCGGAACCACAACCAGAGCCACAAGAAGTAGCATGTTTGCTGTCAGTCCCTCTTCTACAACTACAACCAAACCTAGTTTTAACATACCACTTGGTACTGCCAGACCCATAGTTCCCACAGTGGGTTTCATCGGTAGAGGAGAAGGGCAGAGGAAAAGCTTTGGAAACATGTTTGATAACTCTGACTCACCCCCAAACAAAGACATTCCCAAAGCAGATAAGACACCCAAGAGAGAACCTCCTAAACCCAAAAGTCCAAAAGTTATCGAGAGTGACCTGATCAGGACTTTCAAAGCCATGTCGGACTTGGAAATCTGTCTGTATGCTCTGGTGGGAGTCTCCTGTATTGCTATTCTGGCTTTTTTGCTCAACTGCGCTTCATACAACCTCTGTTTCCGTAATAACAAAACCCCCATACAGGCAGGTCCAGCACCCATTGGCACCCCAAAGGATCACAAGCATGATTGGGTGTGGCTGGGGGGCAACAATCACAGCGCTCCCCATGCTCCAGGTGCCCCTGTCCAAATGTCTACACTGAAACGTGAGCCCCATCATCCCAAGGAGCCCTGTCATTCTGTGGACTCTGTCGGCCATAAGACCCTGCCCACTATAAGCACCACCAATATCCCTGAAAGGACTGCCACCCTGGGCCGCAGTAGGTCCAGCTCCCAGCAACAGTTTCAGAAAAAAACACTCGATCCAATGGTAAACCGCTCCGCCACTTTACTGGCTCGACCACATCGCTGTGAGCCGCTTCATTCCCCCACCAGTAAGCGGAACCAGGTCCAGTTCACCACCTTCACCACTCTGGACATCAAGCATTTGGCTGCACTGAAGAAAAATGGTGTGGACTTAAACTGGGCCAACCAGCAAGGACAGCAAGCTCAGGCACCTGCCGCGCCCCAGGCACCTTTGCCTGACATGCCGTGGCCTGTTGTCAAACCTTTGGGAGAGCCTCAGTGAATTTTGGGGGGTTTAAAGCAGACAGTAAGGGTAAATAGGTGTACATCACATCATTTTATGGCTTAAAACATCCAAAATAAGGCTTGTTTCTGGTAAAATATGAATAACTTTTATCTGTTGGAATGACTTTCAGACCATTTTATTTTAAGATGAATATGCGTTTGTTAAAAACTTGTAAATACATAATTTTACCGTGTATCCATGAAGATTAACTTAAGAGCGAGACTTTTTTATTCCTCTAATTTGAAGCTTCTTTTATGTAAATGGGTGTGCTTACCATACGTGAAGTTGTAAATACACATATATATCTATTCAAAGTTATTTCTACATTTCTAACTTATATAACAAATGATTTTTCTTAACCTTTTACTTTTGTACTATTCTGTTACCCGGGAATGCTTCCAGATATGTCTAGTTGTGAGGGTAAATGCAGTTCATGAGGGATTATTTTCTCGAAGTAATTCTTTTCTTTTCCAGCCTTATGTACTTTTTTTTTTTCTAGGATTCCTCCTGAGATTACCTGGAGAGCCTGTGCAGTTTGTCAAAGAGTATGCAACATTTATTAAGTTATTTAAGGGCAAGCTGTCACTGTGTTCTTCACCAGATACTTATTCAAATCAAATGCATGCTATGCTAATATAGTTTGTGCAGACTTAAGTCTCTGCAAGTGGACCTTTTTATTTATTTTATTCTTTCTTTTAACAACGTTTCCGTGCCTGGCTTCTCCTGGGGGCCTGGTTCTACAATTTGTACAAATGTCTGATCTTAGTCTCTTGACACTGAGCGATACATACTCAGCTCTAAAAATTTTATGCGTGAATGAAAAAGGATGATGCCTTTGCTTTGTAACATCCTCGTATTTCTTAACCAAAATGTCATGTGTATTTCCTATGAGATGGTATAATAAAGGACAAATACATACATTTCTTATAGTTGGATTTTAATGTTTTTTGGTGATTGTTTTAAAGCATTCGAAACAATGAAGTACCACTCAGAGGACAAAGCAATGAATGGTTTGGATTATAGGCTTAAGCTCTGCTGTGTCTCAGGGGGATTTAATTAAATTTGATGACTATTGAATGTGATTTAAGGCTGATGCCATTCAGCGCAATATCATACAGGCACAAATGTATCTGAAGTGCCTGCCAATGTTTGGAGGCTAAAAAAAAACCTCTAACACAGAGAGCAGAAGAGAAAGCGAGGAAGAGATTCTCAATTTTGTGAGTGTCCCAAAAGAATAACAAGCATTTTATCAAAGTTGGAGGCCAGTGTTTGATAACTCATGCCTCATTTGTCTCTTTTCTTCTTCTTCGTCACTGTGTCTCTCAGGTGACAACGAAAACATCTTTCAAAATTACTTTTCAGGAAGTGTGATGCATAAACAGCGTCCCCAGCTTAAGGAAGCACTGATAATCTGATGCTCTGCACCTCAGGAATTGGCAGCTGTTGATATAAAGGCGAGCCCTGTCACTCCCTGCTGCACAACAACAGGAGTGGATTTAAAGTCTTGATAAAAGCAGTTTTAATAACTTTCTCCCAAAATTCTCTATCTACAGTGCCAAGAGTTTTTGTATGTGTATAAACTCTCTGCTCTTTCTTGTCGATTTATCTGTCCAGCAGCTGCAGGGAAAGTAAACAAACCCCCCTCGGAGATAAGCAGTGATTTGAAGCTGTCTCTGCGGTACATCATGGCCCGGCATCTTTGATTGAGGACTGCTCTATCTTTGCGGATGCTCCAAAGTTTTGCCTGTAATGTTTGAGATGTAAAAGCTGCACAGTTTGTTTGAACACACAGATGTCTCAAATTGCTTTATCTATTGATCTCATCAATAAAAACTAAACTTAAATTTGGCTTCAATCATATCCATGCCAGCCTTGGTAAAACTATTAAAACTGTTTGGCAGAAAGGGCTACTTCTCATGTATGGAAGTACCACATGATAATGTCTTACAAAGGAGTAGAATCCTTCAGTATCATTACAGCAGGATCTCTAATCTGGAGCATCAGCTTTCCTATTGACAGATTTAAAGGATTGGGGTCATTGTGTTGAAGGATTAGCATGCATTAGCGGACCCTCTCTACGGCACTCTACTAATGTAGGCCAAAAGATACAAGGTCACTTATCTCACAAGGCTGCGTTTCCCACAGGTTAGCACACGGTCACAGATGGAGGTAGGTGTTTGTGGAAAGGTGCCGTTGCAAATGGATTAATTCAATTGTGAAAATGGACTGTACATGAGGTGCTACATGCAGCTTTTGTGTGATCTGGTCAACTAAATAAGGGGGGAAAAAAAGACTATAATGGAACTTTTAAATGGAGCATAAAAAGCAAAAGGAGCCGGCACATGCAGACAAAAGATGACAGGCACAAGCAGAAGCAGTGAGATGAGAGCTGAGATGAGAGATCTCTCAGGTGGAGGAGAGCTCAGACTATATGTCAGCTCATTAAGACAAAGTACCTCACGCTTTCCTGCAGCGCTCGTTCCTGTCATTGCTCAACAGCACAGTGTCAGCACTCAGTGCGGATCGTTAGATAATGTCGAAGATTTGGGTAACAAAAAAAAGGCAGAGGAAAATGCCTCCGTGTTAATGGCACAGACTAAGAGCTCTGTCAGAACAGATGACATTTTCTTAACCAACAAAAGTGAGATGTCAAGTTTTTTAATGAGTGTAGACAAAAGGCTAATTACTTTGGTCAAAATAGTCTTTGATTTATTTGACTTCAGAGACAATATACAACCCATAAAAATGCTCAGTACACATGTGAAATAAAACTGCAGAATGGAAGAGGAGGAGAAGGGTGGGCTGACAGAAAGAGAGCTCAAGAGACAGACTGACAGGGTGACTCATTGCTGCATGATTGCCTGCTTCTCATGAAGTGTTTGAATTTTTAAATGATCAAAGTGTCTTTTCTTAAGTGGCTGGGGAATTGTACAGAAAATAAAATCTAGCTTCTAAATTCAGATTTTGTTACACCCTATGAGATTCCTCATGGATGCTGTAAGCTTAGTAATAACAATAATAAAAGAACTTTATTCATATAGCACCTTTAAAATTGGATGTTTACAAAGTGCCTCATAGCAAACAAAGGCAGAAACAGACAAAGGAAATTTGACAGTAAAAATGGACAGTTAAAAATTGGCGGTTGGTGGTTGCTGGCACCACATTAGGAGGACTGAAATAAATAGAGAAATAGAAATAGAAATAAAAAAAGAGAAATAGATATATAGATTATAAAATAAGATAAGGTAAAATAAGAGTAATAATGAAAAGGTAGGGAGTATATTAAAACATGAGAACATGTTAAAAAGGACTAAAAATAATGATAATAATATAAATAACTGACAAGGTTAAAAATAAAAGGCATGCAGGCAAGAAAACAAATGAATAAATCATGTAAAAGCAAGTCTGAAAAGTGAGTTTTAGGATGTGACCACTGCGCAAAAAATGTGGTCTCTGAAAAATCGATGTGATTTTTATCAAATTGGTCGGATGAACTAAAGCAGTAGTCAAAACAACAAAGAGTCATATGGTAGTTTTGGCAGTGCTTTGAAATTGTGAGAATGGGCTTTTCATGACCTTATCAGTGTTAGGATTTAGTAAAGTAGGTTAAAGGACTGCAACTATAGAGCACTTTTCCGTTCCTTCTTTCTCCAAAGCTGTCTGTGCCGGCTGTCAGTATTCAACCTTTACACACAATTCCCATCAGGACATCAGCTAATCTTCACACACAAACAGAAGCAGCAATTTTACTGCCTTGGGGGCTTTTGGATTCAGTGTTTTGCCCAAGGACACAAATGTTGCCAGGGCTTGGTACTGAACTCCCAATCCTCAGATTAAATGACAGCCTGCTCTTCCCCTGGGCCACAGTGCCAGAAGTAATGTTGAAACTGCCAACAGTTTGGTATGGTTACTAAAGGTAAAGCTAATTCCTTGTGACATTATAAGATATATATAACATTTGATCAGGAGGAGACCAAGAACAACTTCAGGCCCACCAAATTTTACAGCAATCTATTCAGTCAAAGTTTCCCCTCAAACAAACCAAGTTTTTCTTAATTTATGAAAGTCAAAAGGAATTGTAAACTTGGGGCCATAAATAACATATAGCCTACTGTGGACATTTCTGTTGGTGGTTTGATCCTTCCATAGCCCAAAAAGTTCAATGTAATTACTGTCCATTAATTTAGTTGGCCCTGCTAGAAAAGACCGCAGAGTCCTTGAGTCACAAGGATGTAACCTCCATCTAACTCAGAATACTACAAATATAAAAACAAGGTAATGCAGTCTCTGTCAAGACCTTTAGCTCTGAACACAAAAATGTCATCCTAATGCAGGTGCTACTGAAATGTCACTTTGTAAAATAACTTCTTCCTAGGGTGTCCTCAAGAGACACTGGATGTCTACGTTAAATGCCATAGCAATCTGTCGTAGCAGTGGACTGACAGTTTAACGCCCCTGATAAAATCACCAAAATATACTTAAATCGACTGTTTTTGAGAGGTTTGTTGCATGCGATGAACCTCAGGTTTTTGAAGCCTTGACTTCAGACTTATAGCAGTGTCTGTGTTTTATTTTTTGAAGCCATTGATGACCTTGTTTGGGTTAAAGTACCGGGATTTTGAAAAACTTAGTAATTTGTTTGTAAGTAACACTCAGTTCATTTTACCATGTACCATAGGGACTGACTGCCTCAAGTGGACATCTCCAGCTGCAGTTATTGGAGGTGCTCCTACTTTTCTGGCCTGAGAGGTTGTCAGTTAGTTTGTTAAGAGTGGAAAAAAAAAAGTCTATTTGCAGTGGACTCATATCATAAAAACACAGACAACAATGTACGAAACAAACTCGGCATACGACTAAGTAGAGTGCATGCCATAAATGTGTTATACATACTTGAGTGCGACTTGTTAGCTACCTTAATGGATATGAGTGAAAAGCATAGACTGCACAATATAAGGCCACGGTCTCAGTGACTTCAATTGCTCGAACATCAAACTCACTTCAGGCTTTACAGATGACAGGAAAGACAGAAATAAAGGAAAATAGTGGGAAGTGTGAAAATGAATGTGGAAGAGAGGTATGGCTCTGGATTAATGTTTGAATTATTAACTTTTTATTGGTGAATTCACATGTGACTTTGGGTGCTTCTGCCTCAAGTGGACACTGGAGGAATTGCAGTTTTTAACACTCCTGCATCAGCTTCATTTTGCAAGACCAGAGGTCACCACCAGGAGAGACAATGTACAGCTTAAAGGCTCATTTATGCTCAACGTTACATACAGATCTGGATAAGGACAGAGCTCTCCGTCCGTGCTTCGCGTTCTTTTCGTCCATATTTCTGCAAGTATCCTTGAAGTTATCGGATACAGGCCAGACGGAGCAGTACCATCGGAACCCGTTGGGGCAGTGTTGCTGCTGTCACTACCCAATACACATCTTTAGAGAGAAACAAAGAAGACAATGGCGGAGCTTTTTGAGGATCATCATTAATTTCTCTCATCGGTACTCCTAGATAAAAGAATTCTCTGTCCTCCAACCGCAAGACATGTAGTGGCCCGACCGATGTAAAATATACATTATCACTAGCTCCTCTATAGTCGCCATGTTTCTTTTTGTTTGTTGTTGTCAGAAACTTTTGATTCCGGCCTGCCCCCTGGTGGATGTAATGGTTGACATCCATGCCAACGTAAAGGACGCATGGAAGTATGTGGGCAGTGACGGAAACATTGTTTGAAATGACGTGAACATTTACGTAGTACATATGGCAAGCATAAATGAGCCTTAAGGGTGTAGATGCAAGTTTAGTGCCTGTGATAAACAAGAGGGAAACTACACAACGCTTCAGAGGCCATTCAGCCTTGCCATCTTAATTTGCAAAAGTACTTAAACACACAAAAAAGCCAATCTCTTGTTAACTGTTGTT